TTTGAGATAGAAAACAATGATTCCGTGGAGCCTCCCACAGTTCAGGGCCCCCACTCTCATCTGTTCACCGAGTTTCTGTGGCAGAAGTCTCTTTGCCTATAGCTAGCGTAGTTTTAGCTGGGTCATTGCAGGCTCATTGAAAATAAAGGGCTGGGTTCATGGACCAATTAATCATCTCATCAGCAGTGGCAGCACCATACTGTCCCCCGCAGTATGGTGATCTATACTGAAACCAGAGCTGTCAGAACTATTGAGGGAACCCACATATCAATCTAGCAGTGGCTGATTTACATCCAGGTGCCTCGTGTTTGCAGTTCCATTCCTGGTTAGTAAGTTGTTACCTGTCCCATAAATGGCCAATATAGATTTATGCTGCTGACAGCGCCCTGTTTTTTTAGCCTTTTATGAACTGTAAGGATGGGGAGTGCAAAGTTCTTCTTTTGGCCGACTTTCTTCAAAGTTAATTGATGGACTAGCAGGCGCTGGCTGATCTCCCAGATGCTGAGTTATTCCAGCAACTCCAATGCGGTAAATAAAAAATTGGAAGATAAGATGGTGAATCATTACAGATAATATGAAAAGAAGAGTATGCTTCTCTCAACTTTCAACATTCACATGGCTCACTAGATAGATGTGTTCTGGGCAAAAGATGACCAATAAGCCATGCGATTTTAATTCCAAGATGCTCTTTCAAGGGATTAGTGACTAGTTCATGAAGCCACTCAAAGCCTTAAGTCAGTCCGTCACACCTTTTTCTCACTCTGCTTTTTTACCTCAATTTCAACACATTCCTGGAGACTAGCTGCCTTTGATCTTTTAGATTTTGTAAGTTTAATTGTTCGGGAACCTTGGCCTGTAGCTATCCACTACTTATTCAGAAATAGCCCCTAAGTCATTATGGGCTTTTACATTATGGGTTGCTACAGTTCTCTCAGCTATGCTTAGGGCCAACCAGCACTCCTGGAAATGACATCAATCTCAAGCTACTTGCTGGGCTGATGGATGGAGTTGTGCCAAAGTATCGAAGGATGCCAGACCATGCAGTCAATCTAGTAGAAAATCTCATGGGGATTTCATCGGAACATAACAGCTGTATATCTGTACAATCTTTATATACAGGGGTCATTTTACATTCCCTACTCTGGAAGGAGTTAACCTCATTTTGGATTCATGTATTGCCTTCAGCTCTTTAACATACAATGCTTTGGAGTAGGATTCATAGGTTCTTATATATTCATTGATTTAAACATAAAGATGATGCCCTAGTGTCTGTTCTTCTTTAGAAACTGGAGCCACTGAATTATTTTCAAATGTTACTTCATCAAGCCCTGTTAATTTGCAACTTCTGTAAGTTTATCCACTCGTAATTTGAAGTGGTCTAAAAAGGAATCATGCCCACACCTTATTTTGAATTGGCACTGTTTTATTATTGGGTAATTGGCTCTTCCAATCTATTCCCTTGCCAGAGTAAAGAACACTTTAGTATTTATATAACCAGTCACCCATTAACTTATTCAGGTTTTTGAGTTTTTAAAATTATCCTTGTTGAAGGATTACAGTATATTACCCTTTAATGCCAGCATATTGAAGTTAGATTCTTTTTTATTCTGAAAAGCTTATTCAGTTGGTCCTTTTGACATGGGTACAATGTGAGGAAGCCACAATGGGTTTATATCTTAGACCTTCTGGTTGGCATTATAATTGCTTTGACATATTTTCAACATCTGAAAGCTATTCACAAGACCAGTAACCATGAAAAACACAGCAAATCACTTATTGTCTATGAGTTGATATATACGTCTGATGTTTGAAGCTATTTTATTTTATTATTTTATTTTATTTTTCCCAATAACTTTTATTGGTGTTCATGTAAGTACAATACCAATATATAACTACAGTAACTTGTCCAGTGGTACATTAAGTTTCATATGCAGTTAAAAAAGAAGAAGGTAAAGGACACCTGGACGATTAAGTCCAGTCAAAGGCAACTATGGGGTTGCGGCGCTCATCTCGCTTTCAAGCCAAAGGAGCCGGTGTTTGTGGATAGACAGCTTTCCAGGTAATGTGGCCAGCATGACTAAACCACTACTGGCACACGGAGGACCATGGCGAGTGCCAGAGTGCACGGAAACACCATTTACCTTCCACCGCAGCAGTACCTATTTATCTACTTGCACTGGCGTGCTTTCGAACTGCTAGGTTGGCAAGAGCTGGGACAGAGCAACGGGAGCTCACTCCGTAGCGGGGATTCGAACTGCCAACCTTCTGACTGGCAAGTCCAAGAGGCTCAGTGGTTTAGACCACTGCGCACAAGTAATATGTTTATTTATATATTATCAATTTAAGTATTCTCTCCACAGAGATTCTTGTGTTGTGGGTGGAATAAATGTATTTTCTGTCTCATTTATAAAGGGAAAAAATGGAAGCCAAGTTTCACCAAAAGTGTCTATTCTTGAAGTGCCTTTAAATACCCTTCTGTGGTGAGTAAGGCATTCTGATAGGAACACATTCCAAAGATTATTAATCAAGATTTCAATGGAGATTTCTATAGGTTGCTTCCAGAATCAGGCTAATTGTTGTTTGGGCTGCTGATAATATTAAATTTTAATTTAAATTTGAGATTATGCAAGAGCTGAACTGGGTAGAAGGGACTGCTGCATCATTTTGAAAATAATGTGAAACACCTTTCCCCAAAGTGAGTATACTATCGTGCAACTCCACCATGCATGAAAATATGAGCATATCTCTCTACAGCCTTTCCAGCTTAGGGAATAGATGCTAGTGTTTATTTGGGCTAGATGTGATGGAGCCCAGTGCCAGCAAAATATAATTTTAAGAGAAGCCTCCTGCAAACGAGCAGAGAAGGTTTGTAGGGACGGGTTGTGCAAAATTGATTGCCATTTATTATCTGCAATTATGTTCCCTAAGTCCCCCCCCCATATTGTCCGGAGGCCTCCTGTATCGCCTGCGTATTGTTCCAGAAGAATGCTATAAACTAAAGACGCAGCTCCTTTTATTTCATATATTGATTTGTTACAGAGAGACTCAAACGACATAAGAGAATGAAGACCCTCCCTCTTGCATCCCAAGTATCTTGCAAATGTGCACAATTGAATAGACTGAAACCAGGTTAACTGGGCATCATCCAGTTTCTCCATGAGCTCATGCTTAGAAATTGTTTTATCTCTAGGCAGGAGGTCTCTTATCCGATAGACGCCTTTCTTCTCAAGTTTTTAAAATTGGCCATATTCATCCTCCTGTTGGAATAATGGATGGTCCAACAGTGAAGTCAATGGTGAGAGTATGGGGGCCAGAACTGAGTCCCATCAGCACTGCCTTTAAAAATGGGTTTTGAATTTTTCTCCACTCAGTCTGGGATAGTTTTAGGAAAGAAAATGCCCTTACTGACAGTGAAGAGGGAGGGGCCTCAATCTGTACCCATGGGATGTCATATTGTCCCCTAATCAAGGGGATCGGAGATTTAATCTGAAATGCTGCATAAAAGAGTCCTAGGTTGGGCAATCTGAGACCTCCCTTAGATCTATGCCTAAATAACGCTTTATAATTTATTCTAGATTTTCCCCCAGATGAAACAAACAGAATTAACTTTTGTTGCCATTTTTTAAGCAGAGATGAGAAAATATAGATGGGCAAAACCTGAAAAAAATTGAAAACTTCGGAAGAATATAAATTTTAACCACGGCTATCCTGCCAAGCCAACTGAGATTTAAATGTTTCCATTGCACCAATTCTTGGGAAATATCTCTGAGCAGGTTTTTATAGTTTCAGTGGCTAAGGTGTTTTAGATCTGATGTTAAATTGATACCAAGATAACTAAAGCAACCATGACCAATGCTAAATTCTGCTTGTGATATTAGTTGCTCACGAGTCATTGTGGGTAGGTTAATTGGAAGAATGGCTGAAACGACTTTATTTTGTACACAACTGTGTGATGCTTGACCACACGCACACAAATTCACAGGTATGCTTCTTATAATGTTTGGTGAAACTTAGCATGTAACACCCCCACCCAATGGCCTCATTACATGTTAACATGTTACTAGAGTTCACCAGACGTACATACTTTGGATGTATGTTTATAGCTTTCTGCTAAGCTTCATATATGCAAAAACATGCAGCCTCTGGTGTATTAAATGCACATCCAAAGCCACCTTAAGCAACTCTATGTCCAAGTGACCACATCAATCAATCTTAAGATGGCAACTCTTTCTTATGCCAAGAACAGCAATTCCAAAAATACTTATAATAACAATATAATTTTAATTAGTTTGGAGGATTAGAATTAAATTTGCAAATACTTGTTTATAAGCACTTCACAATAGGAAACATTATCAATCCCATTTTCTTCTCTTCCCACCCACCTATCCAAAACAGAACAGAACAGTGAGAAATGAAAGCAATGCTCAGGAGGTCATTCAGCAATGACAACACCAGCAATAGCAATAGCACTCAAGAGGCCCTTGTGCCATACTCTGGCTTTCTTGAATAGCCCAGATTCTCTCCTTTAAGACCCTTGTGAAATTATTTATAGGGCATTTACTCACATAGTCTGTAGGACATCAAATATTTCTAATTATATCCAGTCATGTCAAATGACAATTATGCCTTAGCCAACTTTGCCAAACAATGCTTTACAGGGAAAGGTTAGCCAAAATGCCTTGGGTGAAGAATGGCTTGAGGGTGGGAGGACAGGGGCTGGTACTTGTGCTCATCCGAGAGTATAAAAGTGTCTAGAGCCAATTTGTGTTGTCCTTCCACAGATAGTTAATAGGTAAGTGTTGGGGGGTGATTGTGGGGCTCTGGAGGGGGGGGGTAGCGCCCCTGAATTCCATTCATGCCAGGCCATTCCTTATGCCTTTGCTGTTAGCACAGGAGAATTGACTATGTCAAACGGGATTTCAGATATGCTCCTTTGCTTCCAGTCAGTAATTCATTGTTGGAAGACTCTTTGAAAAGTCACCAGTAAGAAGAGATTTGCACTTTTTGTTTTGCAGTACTGGCCGGTGCTGAGCCTGAGCACTATTCATTTCGTATACCAGGAGGTAAGACTGTGATTGTACCCATTCTTGGGGAGGGGGAAGAGGTTCAAAGACAGTCTACTTTTGGATCTGAGCTGAGAATACAGGTGCTGTGCCCCTTGCTAATTATGTACCGCATGAAATATTTCATGGGTATTGTGTTCAGATTTTATTGCACAGTGTCCATGTTAACTGATCATGCAGTTCTGGCATATGAGGCATTACTAGCAAGTGCTCCTCCCCTCTAAGCACAAGCTAGAAGTTCCAGCTTTTAATTGCCCTCTGTGACATTATCTGATACTTCCAGAAGAAATCTAATTGCAAAATGGGCAACCATCAAAGTGGGCAACGAGTTGGCATCCAGGACAAAGTGAATTCTCTAATGAATACCACTCTTTGGCAATGTGTACTGGAGTAGACTAGCAGAAATAACACTGTGTTTGACTGTTCCTTTATTTCAGGTTTAGTTTTGAGAAATGATAGTGAAAACCATGTCTTGCCTTCTCATTTATTTACATTATTAGTTAATATTATAACATTGGCATCTCTTAACAAATTGAACTAAAATTTTCTAACTGGGACTGCTTGAGAGCTGCTTTATGATGTATATATTTAATTCCCCGAGAGCAGAATCCAAGCGGAAAGGAAGGTAATGTCTAGGGCTGAGCATGAACTTCCATCAGAATACAAAGGTTAGGATTTCTGATGCACAACCAAGAGTATACTCATCAATCAACAAGATAAGGGAGGAAAATGGAAGTTAACAGGGAGGGTGGCAGCTTAGTGTTTTGTATGAAAAGGTCCATGGTTCAATCCATGGCATCTTCAGGTAGCACTGGGAGAGATACCTGTTTCAAATCCTGGGAAGCTGCTGTCTGTTGGTAAATGTAATACTGAACTCGATGCACCAATGGTTGGGCTCCATATGAGGCAGCTTCCTGGGTTAATTTGATGACTGGGGCTAATTACATGGAAGCAAGCAAGCTGGAAGGGACACGGGTGGCGCAGTGGGTTAAACCACAGAGCCTAGGACTTGCTGATCAGAAGGTCGGCGGTTCGAATCCCCGCAACGGGGTGAGCTCCCGTTGCTCAGTCCCTGCTCCTGCCAACCTAGCAGTTCAAAAGCACGTCAAAGTGCAAGTAGATAAATAGGTACCACTCCGGCGGGAAGGTAAACGGCGTTTCCGTGCACTGCTCTGGTTCTCCAGAAGTGGCTTAGCCATGGTGGCCACAAGACCCGGAAGCTGTACACCGGCTCCCTCGGCCAATAAAGCGAGATGAGTGCCGCAACCCCAGAGTCGGTCACGACTGGACCTAATGGTCAGGGGTCCCTTTACCTTTTTTAAACAAGCTGGAGCTAGGAGCCAAAGAAACATATTCAGCTAGAGGCAGGAGGATATAACATCTTAAAATTTGAGCAATAAATTCAGAGGGGAAACAAATTCAATATGTTCCTAAAATCTAGTTTGTCTTGCAAACTTTCAAATTCATTTTCTACTGCTTGAAAGTATTGGTGCAATCATGAAAAGAAATAAAACAGAGCCATTCACGACTAAGTTGAGGTGCTGTGCCAGAGTCGGATTGGACACTAGCACCGCTCAGCGGGTGCAGTGACCCCTTCTGCTCACCGAATGTGTGGGCAGGTGGCAGTCAGCGGGAGGCCCTGAAATGGTGCTTTCTGTGGGCTGGCAAGTGGGAGAGCCTAAGCTGGCATGGGATCCATTGGATCCCATACCAGACCCACTGCTGGCAAGTGCCCGCCCTCTGTCCCCCAGAGGGCCCAATACCTACACGAGCTCCACAAATGAGGGGCCATAAAAGGATGTTGACAAGATGTTGTGCCTCCCCCCGCCACTGAAGGGTAAATTCAGGGAATATGGGCTAACATTTTGATGCCAACAGTGTTGTGTAGACACAACAACAACAACAAGAACGTATGTTCATAAATGAGAAACAGTGATGCCACAATAAACATCCACTTGGAATCACCCTAAACTAAGACATTTTGGCTCTCATTCAACCACCTGAGTTCCGTATTAGAGGGTACAAGTGGGACTTGCAACAAAATATTACTGTAATTTCTCTTTTAGAATGAGCACTCCACCTTAGGCTTCTAGCCAACCATTTACTCCCAGCAGGGCATTTCACTCTTCCTCCTCCCCAACCAGTTTTCTGTTCCCCTTAACAACTGACACTTAACATTCTCACTGGCTTCTTCTGGAACTTTTTGCCTCCTTAGGTTTTTTAAAAAGCTCCCCTGCCCCACTTCTGCAAATGTTGATGTTCAACCAAGCATGCTTCTACCACCTTGTTTCCAGTGGCCATCTTTGTCACTAGTCCTGTTGGCACTCACCACCTGAGCTTGCTGCCGGACTGCTGTGATGATGATGAAGTTCTGTGGAGTACCATGACACAAAACTTTCTGCAAATTGTGCCAAGGTGCCCTGATCACTTCAATACAGATCCTTCACAGATGTTGGCTGCCCCATTAATTTTGATAGATCGACCAATCCATAAATTTGTTCATTTCTTTGCTTGAATGAGTGGGAAAACTTAATGTTTGTTCTGGTTTTACAACTTCTAAACTTTGATGGATTGGCATGATCAATTTGGGGAATTTAAATAATGTGACTGTGGTTACCTATTAGAGCACTCAGATATAGCAGGGCCGGGGTGGGAGAGTGCTAGAGTTCTGTCTAGTAAAGTTGCATGGGATCAGTTCCAATCTGTTACCTCCAAGGATGTGGACAGGCTGCTTGGACGAGTGAAACCAACCACTTGTCTCCTTGATCCTTGCCCATCCTAGCTCATAAAAGTCAGCTGTGAACAGCTGGGCGCTGGGCTCCGTGGGGTGGTGAATACCTCCCTCTGTGAGGGAGTCTTTCCAGACTGGCTTAAAGAACCAGTTATTAAGATTGAAGTTGAATCCCGGCAGGACAGAAGTACTGTTTTTCGGGGACAGAAGGTGGGCAGGTGTGGGGGACTCCTTGGTCCTGAATGGGATAACTGTGCCCCTGAAGGACCAAGTGCGCAGCCGGGGAGTCGTTTTGGATTCACAGCTGTCCATCGTGGTGCATGTCAATTCTGTGTCCAGGGCAGCTGTCTACCAGCTCCACCAGGTACAGTGGCTGACACCCTACCTACCCACATACTGTCTCGCCAGAGTGATGCATGCTCTGTTTTCTCCCACTTGGACTACTGAAATGTACTCTACATGGGGCTACCTTTGAAGTTGACTCGGAAACTACAACTAATCCAGAATGTGGCAGCTAGACTGGTGACCGGGAGTAGCCGCCAGAACCATATAACAGCAGTCCTAAAAGACCTTCATTGGCTCCCATTGTGTTTCCGAGCAAAATTCAAAGTGTTGGTGTTGACCTTTAAAGCCCTAAACATCCTTGGCCCAATATACCTGAAAGAGTGTGTCTACCCCCATCACTCAGCTCAGACACTGAGGTCCTCTTCTGAGGGTCTTCTGCTGGTTCCCTCACTGCAAGAAGCAAAGTTACAGGGAACAAGCTGGAGGGCCTTCTCGGTAGTGGTGCCCTCCCTGTGGAACACCCTCCTTTCAGATGTCAAGGAGATAAAGAACCATACAACTTTTAGAAGACATCTGAAGGCAGCCCTGTTTCGGGAAGTTTTTTGTTTGACTTTCTAATGTTTTAATATATGCTGTAAGACACCCAGAGTGGCTGGGGAAACTAATCATCATCATCATCATCATCATCACCACACCATAATTTCAAATATATTGAAATACTTAGAACCCATGTGCCTCCTCAACAATTTCCTCTACTTCTAAGACATACCAATTTTAGAAATGCAAAAGAATATATACAGTGGCATTACACAGCTGCAATTCTCATGTGGGCTGTCATTCTCTGTAACAGTGTTCTCTGCTAAACTGCAGCCATGTCTTCGGACTCAGAAATGGCAGCCTTCGGGCCAGCTGCCCCTTTTCTCCGAAAGTCAGAAAAGGAGAGAATTGAGGCTCAAAACAAGCCATTTGATGCCAAAACATCAGTTTTTGTGGTGGATCCTAAGATCTCCTTTGCAAAAGGTGTTGTCCAGAGCAAGGAGGCAGGGAAAGTCACAGTCAAGAAAGAAGGTGGAGACGTGAGTAGAGAAACACCAAGTGACATTGAAAAATTAGGAATATATTTGTCCTATTCTTTATGCTCTGTGTTGAATGGTCTCTTGTTTCCTTGCAGACTGTGACAGTTAAGGATGACCAAGTCTTTCCTATGAATCCTCCCAAATTTGATAAAATTGAGGACATGGCCATGATGACCCACCTCCATGAACCAGCTGTGCTGTATAACCTCAAAGAGCGTTATGCAGCCTGGATGATCTATGTGAGAACAGTTTAACATTTACCATTGACTTGACAATACAGATTATTATTCCACAGAGAATCAGATTTACTATCCATCTTTTCTTTACAGACCTATTCAGGTCTCTTCTGTGTCACTGTCAATCCCTACAAGTGGCTGCCAGTATATAATCCTGAGGTGGTAAATGCCTACAGAGGCAAAAAGCGTCAAGAGGCCCCTCCTCACATCTTCTCCATCTCTGACAATGCCTATCAGTTCATGTTAACTGGTAAGTAGGTCAACCTACCTCAAAGTGATTACAGAGTGACAGTTCCCCAGACTGAATCAACAACTTTTCCAGAAAGTCTCATGCACAATGGGGTTGCAGCTAAGAATTATTTCTATAGTCATCAAAGCTTAAAGGAAGGAAACCTCAACTCAACTGTCCTCTAAAAGACCAAAACCTAATAGCACAGTGCCAACATTTCAGGGCATTCTTCTCTATTGCTTTGTTAACTCTTCATGAGCTTATATGTAGTTTTAGAACTATTTAATAGTTCAGTATTTTCTATAGCAGGCTTGCAGTTGAAAGTAAAATGCACAAGAGACATCAGGATTATAGTGAAGCGCAGTAAGATGTGAATTTATGGCATGCATACTGAAATAAGTGTTGGTTATGAATAATAACTGATAACAAGTCAAGTTGTTTTCATTTTTAATGGATGTATGGGACTTTAAAATGAAAAGAAGCATTAGAAAGAGACCATCCAGATTCTGAACAATCGTAGCCTAAAATAATCAGGCTATCCTAGTGTATTTTAAATGAATATTCCTTATTTCAATAATTGGGCTCATCCACATTTCCACTTATCCTGTGTGTCTGAGCAGTTTCCCCCTTGCCCCATTCCTTTCCCAGGGAAAACCTACTCTTTAGTGCTAAATCAGAGCAAATGTTAATCCAGAGAAAACCTGAACTGCTGTTTGCTTCAATTGAGGGCTAAAGCGTGGTTTTCCCTGGAGGAGATGTGGATAAGCTAAGTTACACTGTTGTTTCTTGATTTTCCTAGATCGTGAGAACCAGTCCATTCTAATCACGTAAGTATGCTTATGATGAGTATGATTCTAGTCAAAGCAAGCTTTGTGTGCAAAGCACTGTTTGACAAAGTGGTCTTTCCTTCTGTTTTTCTTGACAGTGGAGAATCTGGTGCTGGAAAGACTGTGAACACAAAACGTGTCATCCAATATTTTGCAACAATTGCTGCAGCTACTGATAAGAAGAAGGAAGAACCACAGCAAGCAAGCAAGCTAAAGGTGAGTTATATATCTAAGAGGAAGCTAACCTTTCATTTTTGTTAACTGCTGTAGTTATAAAATACATAACTTTGCAATAACACTTTTTCAGGGAACCCTTGAAGATCAAATTATCAGTGCCAACCCTTTGCTGGAGGCTTTTGGGAATGCCAAGACTGTGAGGAATGACAACTCTTCCCGTTTTGTAAGTCTTGCATTCAGAAGTATGTTTAAGAGTGTACCAGTGAAACAATTTCATTAATTAGTTTTGTGATATTTTTCCTAGCATTGGTTGAAATAATCAGGGCCAATGTAGTGCAAGAAATAAGGTGTTGGATTTGGGCATGAGTTACCCAGCCACAAAGATCACATGAATTGCTTTAGCACTCTATTTCTTCATGCTAATTCTGTCTTACACAATTATTGTGATAATAATAAATGGATTAAGAATAGTAAAGCCCTATCTAATGATAGCTAAAGATATGATAACAGAATGTATTAGAAGAGGAGAAGTATAAAAGATTACGCTTTTCTTTCCTGAAGACCCACCTACATATTTAATGCCCTTTTTGTGTGGACATATACTGTTTTGCTTTATACACAAGCTACATTTCCATCTCAAATTCATGAAGGACACAAAGCTCTCACATCTGCAAACTTCTACTGCTGCTGCCATTTGCAAATTATTTAATTCATTTCAAATTATTCAATACCACCACTGCACAAGGAACAGGAAAAAACAACATGGAAATCACACAATCCCCTTACAGATTTGTATGAAATGGATTGACAAGGTTCAGAAAGCCTGCAATTTGATTCCTGAGTAATAGTGATGGGGCATGGGAGAGTCAGCTTTGTGAAAGTGCAAGAATGTTAAACTTTGGGTGCTCTGGAAAGGCTTTGCTAAATAAATGTGGCTAAGATTCAAAAGGAAGCTCAAGTCAGTTCAATGGCTTGCAATAGTGCAGAGGACACCAATTTAATAAATGCACATTCTGTATAACGGTATAACACAACCAAGCTAGTCTTTGTCATTATTCATTAAACTTTGTACTTCTTAGCCAAATTAATGGAATGAAAATAATACAGAACTCTAAGTGTTAGTATATAGCCAGCATTTAAAAACACACTGTCCTTTTTATCATATATAATGCTACTGAAGCGAGCCACATTCCGTTTCTCTTATTACCGGTATAAACAATACCATCAATAAATTGTGAAGCTTCTCTATCACATTCAGGTCACAGACATTTTTTTTCTGAGAGACAATTAGGTTAATAAAGTATTTCCCCTACACTTCTTAAATTCTATAGAATTTGATATTATTAGTGATATCCAACTAAGCCATACTCAGAATAGAAACAAGGAAATAGATTTGTTTGAGTGTGTTTTACTTTGCGTATGACATATCATTGGGTAAGTCCCCATATGTCTGCAAGATAATAATAATAATAAAAACACAATGAAAAGGAAGAACCAAAAGACCTTTGGTTTACAAGACATTGTACATATAAGACATTTATGGTTCTTCCTTTTCATTATGATTTCTTAGTGGTGGCTGGTGTACACCATTTTTGTCCCATCAGAAATGTATAAAATCAATAGAATGGCACTGTGCAGATATCAAAACACATGCAAAACATGGTTTAAATGTGTTGTAATTAAAATGCCATTTCCCCCCATAGGGTAAATTCATCAGAATTCACTTTGCTGCTACAGGAAAACTGGCTTCTGCAGACATTGAGACATGTAAGGAACTTTGCTAGACGATCACACAGTCTCCTTCTTTCCTTCGTCTTCTTTTCCTTCTTTCCCTCCCTCCCTCCCTTTTACTTAATTACCCTTAATTGTGTTGCCAGATCTCCTGGAGAAGTCCAGAGTTACTTTCCAGCTGAAAGCTGAAAGAAGCTACCACATCTTTTATCAGATCACGTCCAACAAGAAGCCAGAACTGATTGGTAAGAAGCATTTGTTTTGGTGTAGGCTGCTGCTGCTAAAATCTTGTGTTGAAGCTTGATTATTCAATGGATGAAAATAAATCTGTATCTTTGTTTCTCCTTATTCAGAGATGCTTCTGATTACTACCAACCCATATGACTTTCACTTTGTGAGTCAGGGTGAGATCAGTGTTGCCAGTATCAATGATCAAGAAGAGTTGATGGCAACTGATGTAAGTAACTTGTAGAATGGAATATGTGAAATTTGATCAGATCAGTTTTGGGCTGAATTTATTCAGCAGAAATTAGATTTCTTGGGGTGATGAACCCTTGCTACAATTTATTTGGGGGAGGGAAGCATTCTAGAAATGCTGGGGGCCAGAGTCTTGCTAGAAATGGGAATGACAGCAGCCTCCCCTCTCCCGATCTCTCCATTAAACATAGTCCTGTTGCCATGAGTAGTATCAGTGGCTTGCCTTTTTTTGGTCAGAATGCACCCTTGGAACAATGTCATGATGTGTGTGTGTGTGTGTGTGCGCGCGCATGTGTGCACATGTGTCTATGTAGGAGGCCAGCAGAGGCTACAGTAGTGGCATCCTTCCCACATACCCTTGAATTTGCCACACGTAGCAACAGCTTTCCTTGATGTTTCCTTTCCTTGACATTTCTCCTTTGGAAAAATGGTACATCATGCTTTAGTGTTGTTTGAAGAGCATTCCCTCCTCCCCCCCCGTGTGTGTGTGTGTGTGTGTGTGTGTGTGTGTGTGAAATAATAGGCCCCTCATGGCCAGTGAGGCAGACCACAAATACCCCGCCAACAGAATGCCCCAGAACACTACACCATGACATGTTGTTCCAAGTGGGGCAATGTGAGACGAAACACAGGCCTCTAATTGCCAAAAAGGGTCACTCAGATTCTTTACCTCCTTATGGAGCAGAAAATTTGAAAGGCCAGTTGCAGTCAATATTATATCAGACAGAATTTTGACTTTGATTTGGTTGATAGGAAGCCATTGACATCCTGGGTTTCACTGCTGAGGAAAAGACAGCCATTTACAAGCTAACTGGAGCTGTAATGCACTATGGGAACATGAAGTTCAAGCAGAAGCAACGTGAGGAACAAGCTGAGCCAGATGGCACTGAAGGTATTTGGAAGACATGTGGCAGGATACTGAGATTTTCCAGAAAGAAGGGGCTTGCTCTATAGAAATTTGTATTAAAAATCCAAAACAAATTATATTATTATTGTTTATTAAATTTATATATTGCCCTTCATTCGAATTCACAGGGGGGTTTATAATAATAATAATAATAATAGTAAAAATCTTTAAAAGGCCATAGGTAGTTTAATCAGCCAAAGGTCAAATGATTAACAGCAAGCGATTGAGGTGAATGCTCATTGTTATATAGCCATCCCATAAACAAATAAGAACAAATGCTCAACAAAGACCAGGCACAATCTAACCACCACATAAACTTTGTGCAAGCAAATCAGGATGAATGCTGAATATGTAGGTTGTCTGGAGAAGCTCATAATTTGTATTCCAGGGCTGATAATCTCTCTCATGTCTATGCTTAGTTGCTGACAAGGCTGCCTACCTCATGAACCTCAATTCAGCAGATCTGCTGAAAGCTTTGTGCTACCCCCGCGTCAAGGTCGGCAATGAATATGTCACCAAAGGCCAAACTGTCCAGCAGGTATATGCCACATTAGCCAAAATGCATGGTTTGACTTAACTATCTATGATTCACTGCCTTGATAAGAGGTGAATCACATATCATCATCTCAACCATTGATTTCACTAATGATTAAATCAAACATATTTCTCTGCTATCAAAAGTAACTCCTGCTGTTATCTTGTCTTCTTAGGTGTACAATAATGTAGGTGCTCTTGCAAAAGCAGTCTATGAAAAGATGTTCTTGTGGATGGTTATTCGTATTAACCAGCAGCTGGATACCAAGCAAGCAAGACAATACTTCATTGGTGTGCTGGACATTGCAGGCTTTGAGATTTTTGATGTAAGGAAATAGGGAGAAATTAAAAAATAATAATTGTAAAGCACTAGAGAAACAGTGTTTTGTATCAAAACTGTATTATATACTGAAGTGTGACTCTGGCAGCTGAAACATTTCAACTTATACAAGTTGCCATTCATTGAAAACATGGAACATTTTCCTATACTACTATAAAATGTGTAACAAATTGTAATTAATCTCAAAGAAAAGGCAAACTGATGCCTTCAAAGTGTTTCAGCATGCTTCACAATACTAGAAGCCACATACCATGCAGGAACTGAAACACTCAGAGGATTGAACTGAACCATACAAATGAGGCTGAGAAAAAGAACCCATACAAGTCTAGTTCTGTGGGCAAATGCCTGCAGGAAAGGAAAGAAAAGTGTCAAGCTGCTGTAGGGATTGGGGGTCACTTGGATGAGTCAATGAATGTTAGTGAAAATGTATCTTGTTTTTCTGTAGTACAACAGCCTGGAGCAGCTGTGCATCAATTTCACTAATGAGAAACTGCAACAGTTTTTCAACCATCACATGTTTGTGCTGGAGCAAGAAGAGTACAAGAAAGAAGGAATTGAATGGGAGTTCATTGACTTTGGAATGGATCTGGCTGCCTGCATTGAACTCATTGAGAAGGTATCTTTCGCAGTGTGAATACTTGGTATGCTCCGAAATGTTGAAGTTACATAGGAGAACATGCATGCAATTTGCAGTCCTTTCTTAAGTGCACCCCAGCAGAGGGGTTGCAGGAAACTCCAGTGTATTGAACATTGTACCATGAAAGGAAGTGGGTTGGATGTGGCAGGTGATTGGATCCTGCCCAAAGAATCGTATACTAAATCTTCACAGTTCTAGACTCTGGGGCCTACCATGCATTCTTGTTTCATGCAATAATCATGCAATCGTAACTCAATTTATTGAACAGGATGTAGATATAGTGCCAATTTAGTAGCACTTGATTGCATTGAATCAAATTTCCCCACAACTGTATAAGAAAAAATGATTTTTCTAGACCAGCCTATTTATTTCGATAGCATCAAGTGTGTCTGTGGTGCTTCACAAAGAACAGGCCTGGCAGCCCTACTCTAGGGAGTTTACAATCTAAAAGCAGACACAAGGAAAACAACAGAAGGTGGGGAAGGGAATTGGAGACAGGTGCAAGCAGAGGAAGACTATATTACTGTTACTTATACTTTAGCTTTTTAACGGTATGGCATTGTCAATAGAGGCTTGTTCTAAAGCAGGTGTGGGGAACCTGTGGCCCTTCTGATGTTGCTGGACTCCCACTGTCATCAACCCCAGCCAGTATGGCCAAAGGTCAGAGATGATGGGAGCTGTAGTCTAAGAGCATCTGGAGGGCAATAGGTTGCCCTTCCCTGTTCCAAAGGTTTCATGGGCATGATAGCAATGGGCCAGAAATACTCAGGTGGCTTCTTTCATAGGGAATATTGTTCAAGAATAAATAGAAATAGGGTATACACTCTCTCATAGTAGATATTTGCTGAGATTATCCAGCAGGATATATTATGGAACATGTCTATCCATATGTACCTTTTCGGTTGTAACAATTGGTTGATCTGCAAGTGGCGTAAACCTGTATTCCAGGTTTTAATGGGACTTGTGCTTGCATATTTGAACCCAGTTCCTTCTCAACTTCTCTGCCCCAATAGAAAATTCTTCATGCTTTCCCAAAGGCAAGTGTTTCCAAAAGCTGACTAAGCAATCTCTTTATTATTGTTATTCCTTCCAGCCAATGGGCATTTTCTCCATTCTGGAAGAAGAGTGCATGTTTCCTAAGGCAACCGACACTTCTTTCAAGAACAAGCTCTATGACCAGCATCTTGGAAAATCTGCTAATTTCCAGAAACCTAAGCCTGTCAAAGGCAAGGCTGAAGCCCACTTTGCTCTGGTGCACTATGCTGGCACGGTGGACTACAATATTACTGGCTGGCTGGAGAAGAACAAAGACCCATTGAATGATACGGTGGTGGGTCTGTATCAGAAATCATCCATGAAGACTCTAGCTTTCCTGTTTGCTGATCGTCCCGTAGATGCTGGTAATCAACCCTCTGACTAATGTATATATAAAGAAACATTTATTCTAATATAAAAGTATTATTTAATAAATCTAAGGTCCATTTAATATTTTTTCATGTTAATTTTAGATGGTGGCGGCAGTGGTGGCAAGAAAGCTGCTAAGAAGAAGGGGTCTTCCTTCCAGACTGTGTCTGCTCTTTTCAGGGTATAGTATAATCTTTATAACTCTTTTCAGTGTGTGAATTTAAAAGTGCTTTATGAAATGCCTGTATTTGTCAGTATTTGTGTACCAAACCATTTTGGATCTTCTGAGAGATATGCTGAATCTAACTGAATTCATGGAATAGTCTTCTTTTCAAAAAATATTGCCACAGATTTAAAATACATGCCCACATCCTTCCACATAATTCAAATATGAACAAAGTGCAGTATGTAAAATATCCTTGACTGTTCTAAGTATCTAAAAAGAGGGGATCAGTATTGAATACAAAGGCAAATAAATCTTTATTGAAATGCTTCCTGTGTTACTTTGTCTAAACGATGTGTCTGCATGCTGCTGTGATATTTATTAAAGGAAGAAATATGGAATGTAGCCCTCCAGGTGTTGCTGGACTAAAACTTCCATCATCCCTGAGCACTAGCCATACTGGTGGGGATGATGGAAACTGGGAGTTCAACAACATCTGGAAATTGACAGGTTCCCTACCAGGGGGACTAAGGATTAATTCCAAAGAAGCAGTATACACTTAAGGGAGCTCCCCCCCTTAACAGCATACAGATAGTACTTTATTTAATGGTATGCTCCTAATGTCAAAGAGATAAGCTGCTATTAAACATGAACAGCAACTTGTTTAACAACCCAAACATCAAAAGCAAGCATTGACAGTGGATGTTAGGAGCTTGAAACAACCTGATATTTTAAAATCTCTGTTACATTTGATGGTGCTTCCCCACCCCTATTTGCATGCACTTGTCCCCTCTGCATGCAAACATCCCTTCTTTGGACTTTTGCACAAAATATCTGCTTCTGGTCCCACAGGAGAACTTAAACAAACTGATGTCCAATCTGAGAAGCACTCATCCCCACTTTGTGCGCTGCATTATTCCCAATGAAACAAAAACACCTGGTAAGGCATACAAATAAACAAATAAAGCAGATCTTACTGTATTTTTAGCAACCAACTATCACACAATTTCAGTGGGGAAAGCCCATTTAGTTTCGTATTAAGCATTAATCCAAGTCTTGCACAACATGCAAACTTTGAGAAAAGTATAATGCAAAGCAACACAATGGATCAGTTTGGTTTTCACTTGGCATGCATGGCAAAAGGAAAACTGCTAGCGAGACATTTCACAAGTACGCCATTAAATGTTCATTTCATTAAAATTTGATTGCTTTTTCAAAGCCTGTTCTGATCATGGTCTAATTTGTCGTGTTTGGATTTCCTTCTGAATTTTAAAAGTAATAGTAGAATATATTTAGCTTGTAGTTCTAAATACATTCTCCACTCCATGAAAAATGTGTAAGGTTCCCCTCACTGTTGATTATTTATATGAACACACCCTAGCAGTCTAAAGAATGCTCCTGTGTCTAGTATGTTCCATGAGGGAAAGCATATTTAACTGAGCTTGTGTAAAAGAAGGCTTAGTTTTCTGTGCCTCAGGTGTTCAAAATATTGAGAAATCTGAACAGGAATAAATACAGATAAGTGCAACAGCATTTGCCCTTACAAAATGGTGCTACTTCCTCTTTGATTTTTTCGAAAGGTGCAATGGAACATGAACTTGTACTGCATCAACTGAGGTGTAATGGTGTGCTGGAAGGCATCCGCATTTGCCGAAAGGGATTCCCTAGTAGGATCGTTTATGCTGATTTCAAACAGAGGTTAGTTTGGCCCTCCTATAGAGCTCCATTCTGTACATTTCACATCTCATATGCTTTCTTGACTTTATATAAAAAAACCCTTCATCATAAATTCAGTTAACAGCAAGATTATATTTATTCAGAGTTGATGAATATCCCAGACTAGATAACTCCTTTGAATCAAGTGTTGTTTTCTCAACATGCTTTGAATGTTTTCAGAGATCAACAACTATTTTATAATAATTCATTTTTACTCAATCATTCCTTGGCAAGTTTTTGGAAACTAATATCCACAACAATTTGCTATTCATGAAACTAGTGAATTTAATGGCAAGACACCAGCATCTTCTGTTTTCTCCAACAGATACAAGGTTTTAAATGCAAGTGCAATTCCAGAAGGCCAGTTCATTGATAGCAAGAAAGCATCTGAAAAGCTTCTTGGATCTATTGATATTGACCACACCCAGTATAGATTTGGACATACCAAGGTATAAACTATCTCTGATGCAAATACATTTTCTTTAATTAGGACAAGGTTGCATTTGTGACATTCTGCAACCTTTCTTTTCTCCAGGTGTTCTTCAAAGCTGGCCTTTTGGGTCTTCTGGAAGAGATGAGAGACGACAAGCTGGCTCATCTGATAACACGTACACAGGCTATGTGTCGTGGTTTCTTAGCAAGGACAGAGTACCAGAAAATGTTGGAAAGGAGGTATAGCCCTCACAATTATTTAGAAAAGCACTATCAGAAGGCCTGATTTGGTTGCCCTGCTCTACATGCCATTTAATATGAATCTTAACTTTGTTGACAGAGAGGCCATCTTTACTATTCAATACAATGTCCGTTCATTCATGAACGTCAAGCACTGGCCCTGGATGAAGTTATATTTCAAGATCAAGCCCTTGCTAAAGAGTGCTGAATCAGAGAAAGAGATGGCCACCATGAAAGAAGAGTTTCAGAAAACTAAAGAAGAGCTTGCCAAGTCAGAGGCAAAACGAAAGGAACTTGAAGAAAAAATGGTGTCTCTGATCCAAGAGAAGAATGACTTGCAGCTCCAAGTCCAGTCTGTAAGTGTTATTGGTGCCATTAATTTGATTTTATTCTTGATAAAATTTAGGTAGAGGAATGCACACATTGTAGGGAAAGTACACTGTGAATATTTGGGGTTATTTAGGCTATCCCCAAAATATGGCGCTGTGTGGGTGGGTGTACACCATACAATCTGGCACTGAGTATAATATATAAGACACTATGAAGACTACATTTTATTCATGAATACACATATGTAGGTCTAGCATACAGCTTTTTGTTTTCACACCAATATTTATATTGGATAGTTTATTTGTCCATATAAATGGAAAATCCTTTCTGAAATGTTTTTAGGACACATTCAGCCCAGTTTATTTATACCTACTGTGTGAAAGACTGAGAGAAAGGCAGTGGGGAAGCTGATGTTGTGATTACAATTATGTAATATAAAAAACACTCATGGAAGGAAAACAGCATTGATGATCATTTGGCAACACTTTGCAACTTGTTTCTTGAGTCTGGAAAATATTAGTAAAGTCACCAGCAAACGCTACTGTCTGAGGAAACATTACAGTTGCTTTGACATGATAGGAAAATGAATTTAATTCACTTATACAAATACAATTTCTATACAATTAATCACAGATTAATATAGATTAAAATTTTCAGAACACAGATTACATTCAGTAGGAAAATCTACGCAGAAATCCTACTGAAATCCTACAGAAATGAAACATGGATTATTCTCTGGAACATTACCAGTACTGTTATTCGCATTTAGAAAGTGAAAATACTGGAAAGACATTCCTTTTACATGCTACATTTTTCCCCCAGGAAGCTGATGGCTTGGCAGATGCTGAGGAGAGATGTGACCAGCTGATCAAAACCAAAATTCAGCTGGAAGCTAAAATTAAGGAGCTGACTGAACGGGCAGAGGATGAGGAGGAAATGAATGCTGAGCTGACAGCCAAAAAGAGGAAACTGGAAGATGAATGCTCAGAGCTGAAGAAAGACATTGATGATCTGGAGTTAACACTGGCCAAGGTGGAAAAGGAGAAGCATGCCACAGAAAACAAGGTAATGGTCACAATGTGCTCAGCTCTGCAACCAATAGTCAGAATGTTGTATTATCATTCCAGGGTGGAATGATACATTGAATCTGTTTGTTCATTTCTAAAAGGTGAAAAATCTCACTGAAGAGATGGCAGTCTTGGATGAGACCATTGCCAAATTGACCAAGGAAAAGAAAGCCCTCCAAGAGGCCCATCAACAGACCTTGGATGACCTGCAGGCAGAGGAGGACAAAGTCAATACTCTGACCAAAGCAAAGACCAAGCTGGAGCAGCAAGTGGACGATGTAAGCACCATCACATGCAGAAGAATAACTGTGGGGTAAAGGTAGCATTAGAGTGACAAAGTCTTTGTCCCTTCTTTGTCTTTAGCTTGAAGGGTCCCTGGAGCAAGAAAAGAAGATACGCATGGACCTGGAGAGAGCCAAGAGGAAGCTTGAAGGTGATCTGAAGCTGTCCCAAGAATCCTTAATGGATTTGGAAAATGATAAGCAGCAGATGGATGAAAAGCTGAAGAAGTAAGTAAGGTTTGCTTCTGGAAGACCTTTTAGGAGGTCTCTATAGAACCCAACTATTATTATTTGATTTGGACTTAAAAAATCCTTGTGTTTTGTTGTGAAAAGGAAAGAATTTGAAATCAGCCAGTTCCAAAGCAAAATTGAAGATGAGCAGGCCTTGGGCTTACAACTTCAGAAGAAGATAAAGGAGTTACAGGCAAGTCAATCATATATCAGATCCATTGTGACTATGAAAACTACTTCCTCTGAGAATATATTGTGAGTGTTAATGGCTGCTTCTCTTTCTCTAGGCTCGTATTGAGGAACTGGAGGAGGAGATTGAGGCTGAGCGTGCATCTCGGGCCAAAGCAGAGAAGCAGCGGGCTGATCTCTCCAGAGAACTTGAAGAGATCAGTGAACGTCTGGAGGAAGCTGGTGGGGCAACCGCAGCTCAGATTGAGATGAACAAGAAACGTGAGGCAGAATTCCAGAAAATGCGCAGGGACCTTGAAGAGGCCACTCTGCAACATGAAGCCACAACAGCTGCTCTCCGCAAGAAGCATGCAGACAGTGCAGCTGAACTTGGGGAACAAATTGATAACCTGCAACGTGTGAAACAGAAGCTAGAGAAGGAGAAGAGTGAGCTGAAGATGGAGATTGATGACCTTGCTAGTAATTTGGAATCTGTCTCCAAAGGCAAGGTATCATACAGCAATTTCAATATATATATATTGCAATCACAAAATATACATATTGGATTTACATTTCTGTAGCTTTATACAGGATTGGAGTGAGGTAATTGTAATTTAAAAAGGATTTCAACTTCTATAGGAAAAAGAGAAAAGTAATTTTTATTACATTACCATCTCTATCCATCCATATATAATGCTGTTTCTATTTAATGCTGTTTCTATTTGTAAGATGACCAAATTTTATTCCATCTTATATATATATTATAAGGTCCTCATTTCCCCCCTTAAATAATGCATCACTTATTCAGGACTCCTTATTACATATTCTTTTTCATTATTCAAGACATTCCCCATTCTTCAGCGTTATATGTTTCTGGTCTTCATTGTGACTCTAAAACATATATGAAGCGTCCATTCTGAATACTGCAAAGTGTTACAATATGCAAAGTACAATGGTGTTAGTTAATATGGTTCTTTGACTGTACACCTATAGGCTAATTTTGAAAAGATGTGCCGCACCCTAGAAGATCAGCTTAGCGAGCTTAAAACAAAAGAAGAAGAGCATCAACGTTCCATTAATGACCTGAATGCTCAAAGAGCTCGTTTGCAGACAGAATCTGGTAAGATGCTTAAACAAATTTCTAACATGCTGGAGATATTTGTGAGAAGGACATGGCTTGTTCTGCAAAAATACAACTATGGGTGATATTTCCCATCCCGTCCCCAATTCAGCGGGAGTGGTGGTTGTAGCTCGGTTTGGTGGTTGCATGGAGAGATGGTGCTTCAGCTTTTGCAGGATAGGAAGGGTGATTTCTGGCCTCGCACAGATGGGCTGAAGCCAGGAGAGCCTGCAAGGCTTCAGGAACCAATCGGTGCATGAGCTGGGCTCCTGAGAGGTGGGGCCTTGGAGCAGCCCTGGGGGAAGACTTCACCCTACCAGGTCCACTCCAGATAAATAAAAGGAGATGCGTGGTGCAGGGGCCAGGAAAAATTGGCCATTTCTTCCCACTACTTCATAGCAATCTTGAAGGTAGAACAACCTTGAAGGTGGAAGAGGCATTGGGCTGGATCGGGGATCCCCTTAGATGGGGATGCCCTTAAGAGTCCTTAAAGGGCAGCACTTCCCATTCAGATACCTAATTCAGGGGCTGAAGAACCACACCTATGGAAATTAAAACACTTAAGTCCATAGATTTCAGCAGGTCTTCTCTTATTATAACTAATATTGAATATCACTTATTGTACCAAATAATTGCCAAAACCTATGCAAAAATGATTAAATCTTGGAGATTTCAGATATTAATTTTAATATAATTTTTCAATTTACTTATGTTAAATTATGTTATATATTCTCTACTTCAGGTGAACTCTCACGACAGGTAGATGAAAAAGATGCTTTGATTTCCCAGCTTTCCAGAGGCAAGCAAGCTTTTACTCAACAAATTGAAGAACTGAAGAGACAACTTGAGGAAGAGATAAAGGTGAAAATTTGGAATCAAGAATTTATTTTATCGTCTGTTATAATGCCAGAAACACTGGGCAGCTTTTTTGTCACAGATTCACTACTGCAAGAATTGCCTCACCTGCATAATTATTTATGTTTTATACATCTCATTCTCTGTGTGCTTACTTCATCTTGTGGACTGGCAATTGTATGTGCTGAAGCCCACTCCGAATATTTACATAATCTACAATTCTATGTTAATTCTATAGGCCAAGAATGCACTGGCCCATGGTTTACAATCTGCAAGACATGACTGTGACCTTCTTCGGGAACAATATGAAGAAGAACAGGAAGCCAAGGCTGAGCTTCAGCGTGCCCTGTCCAAGGCAAACAGTGAGGTTGCTCAATGGAGAACTAAATACGAAACTGATGCCATTCAGCGGACTGAGGAACTGGAAGAAGCCAAGTATGTGCAATGATGTGCTTAAAAGGGTGTTAGGAAATACCAAACAAATAGTTGTGAGAGAAGAATTAGAGAACTCCCTCCATTAACTGGAGCACCATTTATAGGTGGAGGACCAGAACAATTAACAGAAAGGACACATTATTATTATCTGGCCTTAGCCTGAGTATGAGATAGTTCTGTGAATTTATACAGTGGTCTATGGTGTTATTCAACACTGCATATCATCATGTTTATATTAAATCTTCATGTTTCCTGAAGAGAGGTTTGGGGTTTTTTTTTGTAATCTAATGAAACAGCTGCATACAGCTGAATCTAATAGCTCCTCAATGAGTGCAATGTTCACGGTATTTTCAGATGCAGCAGGAAGAAGACAATATTTTTTAATGTAGACTGAATTAGAGAAAGCAAGTTATATTTTTATCAGAATCAGTGTACAGAATAAGTCACACATTGGTTTATGCTAGGCTCAGAGTAGGGATGTACTGCAATTTTACATGAGTCACATTTTCACTGGAGCAGAGGCAGAGTCGCTTGATCATGAGCATCTATGGCAATTTCCAAGTCAATAACTGCATTCTGAGGTGTGTGTGTGTCCCCAATATTTATGGAACCTCTTCCTGCCACTGCTGCAGAAAAAATGAGTGAATGTAGTGAATCAAATTCCACAACCAATTTCTTTGTTTCTTTGTTAGATGTGCTTTCTCACAATGTCAACGTAAATTGTGCTCACAAATTCCATGGGAAAGAAAAAGTCACCAACATCAATTCTGCAATAAATTATTTTAGGTTAAGTTGCAAGGCATTTAGTGAATTGAATGTCTTAAGCCAATTTTGCACAAGGACATTTTGAAAACAATTGAAAGCAAAAAATTTCAGCAACTTGTATCCCTAGCTTAGAGTGGTAGTGAGACATGATTACATTATTACAATGTTATGTGTTAACATGGAAGGAAAAGATGATATGTCAAGACAAGGTTTGAAAGGAAAAGCGAATTTCTATTATCAGTATGCACTGAATACCTTTCAGCCATTTATTATCATAGATAATTAAGAATCACTAAGTGTTGTAATCACATTCCTCTAGGAAAAAGCTGGCTCAGCGTCTGCAGGATGCTGAAGAGCACGTAGAGGCTGTGAATTCCAAATGTGCTTCCCTTGAGAAGACAAAGCAAAGGTTACAGAATGAAGTGGAGGACTTGATGATTGATGTGGAAAGGTCCAATGCAGCCTGTGCAGCTCTAGATAAGAAGCAGAAGAACTTTGATAAGGTACTTTTGGCCATAATTTGAAAGAAAACTCAGCACATTGCAACAAACCCTCAGGTACACATGAACACATTTCTTATTTCTTGTGTTTCTTCTTTCTGGTGTTTTGCAGATTCTGGCAGACTGGAAACAGAAATATGAGGAAACACAGTCTGAACTGGAAGCCTCCCAGAAAGAGGCTCGCTCTCTCAGCACAGAGCTCTTTAAGATGAAGAATGCTTATGAGGAATCCTTGGATCACTTGGAAACTCTGAAGCGTGAAAACAAGAATCTCCAGCGTAAGACCATAGTCTTTACCTAGGCATTCTGCCAAGTTTGGTCATTTTTGTAGTAGGAGGCTTCCACTTAATTTGTATACCATTATTTTTTTCATTGCCCACTGATAGATTCAAACATTCAACTGAAAACCATTCACATGAATGGCAAAAGTGTAATGCTAATTATTAAATGATTGTTGGGTTCTGAATTTGTACTCCATACATAATCTAGTGTACAGATTGCGGATCTGCTCTCTCTCTGACTGACATTTTAATGTGTAAACCAACAGAGGAGATTTCTGACCTCACGGAGCAGGTTGCTGAAGGAGGAAAAGCTATCCATGAATTGGAGAAAGTGAAGAAGCAGATTGAGCAAGAGAAAAATGATCTGCAGACTGCTCTAGAGGAAGCTGAGGTAAGTACACTATTATGCACATAATTATTTTGTGGCATATATCAGACAAAAAAGTTGGCAATGCTTGCACAGTGCATACAAACTAGTGGTTTTTAGTGTTTCCTATTGAATAAACTTTCAGACAGTGAGTCCATGGTATGGTATTCTTGTTTTAAGGCCTCACTGGAACACGAAGAAGGCAAAATCCTCCGCATCCAACTTGAGCTCAACCAGGTGAAGGCTGACATTGACAGGAGAATTGCAGAGAAGGATGAGGAAATTGATCAGCTGAAGAGGAATCACCTGAGAGTTGTGGAGTCCATGCAGAGCACACTGGATGCTGAGATCAGGAGCAGGAATGATGCCCTGCGGCTGAAAAAGAAGATGGAGGGAGATCTGAATGAAATGGAAATCCAGCTGAGCCATGCCAACCGCCAAGCTGCTGAAGCACAGAAGAACCTCAGGAACACCCAAGGAATACTCAAGGTACATATATATTTCTGTAATCAGGATACAGTTGTGATTGTTATTGTGCAAAGAATGGTCTCACAATAATATCTCAATATCATTTTTTAGGACACCCAGATACATCTGGATGAAGCTATGAGGAGCCAGGAAGATCTGAAGGAGCAAGTGGCCATGGTTGAGCGCAGAGCTAATCTGATGCTGGCTGAGATTGAGGAGCTCCGTGCAGCTCTGGAACAGACAGAGAGGGGCAGGAAAATAGCAGAACAGGAACTTCTGGATGCCAGTGAGCGTGTGCAACTCCTCCACACCCAGGTGAGCTTCTAGCTTGTAATGGGCACATAAAATTCTCTAAGCAGAAGATGGTTCAGGTAAAGGGAAGAAGCTACTTCTGTTTTTTGAAATGGCATTGTGTATTGCCCACCTGTGTCAAAACTCCTGATATATATGTGTCCATCTCTTTTTGCAATGTCGCTGACTCCATTTTCTATTCCTTATGAGCATACCTTCATGATATGGTCAAGTGCCTCCAAAGGACTTCATCAATTAAGTCATCTCCATGTTTGTTAAGCCTGAATCAATGCTATAAGAAATGGAACGTAAACATTAACTTATAATTTGAGAGCTTTCTTAAGGGTTGATGAAGGCTCCAAACATTGCATTTGCTGTTTTCTAGATAACCAAGAATGCCTCCCACACCAAAGAAACATGAATTTCATGCTGAATATATTACGGTTTGTGGCTAATAGTTAAATGTCAATTTTATTATTCTTATACAGAACACCAGCTTGATCAACACCAAAAAGAAGCTGGAAACGGATATTGCCCAAATCCAGAGTGAAATGGAGGAGACAATTCAGGAAGCACGCAATGCAGAAGAGAAGGCCAAGAAGGCCATAACTGATGTGAGTTTGAGGGATTTTTCTTTGGAAATATTTCCCTGATTATACTTGGCATGCATGGCTTTCTGATTATTATTAATAATAATAAGACTAAGAATAATATTTTACTATAACTATTAATAGGCAGCCATGATGGCAGAGGAGTTGAAGAAGGAACAAGATACCAGTGCACATCTGGAGAGGATGAAGAAGAACCTAGACCAGACTGTGAAGGACTTGCAGCACCGTCTTGATGAAGCAGAGCAGCTGGCACTGAAAGGAGGGAAGAAACAGATCCAGAAACTGGAGGCCAGAGTGCGTATATCTCATAGAGGAACGGTTTCTCCATGCATTTTGAATCTTGAATAATCATTTCCCACACTTTCACGTCTTCACTCCCTGCTTTGCCCGCATAGGCAGGAGACATACCATCTAGGAGAGGTACTATCTGAAAGTTCGGAAGGCAGCAATGGTAGTAGTAGTTTGCTTTTTTATATATTCTTGATGCCTTTCTTCTGGGAGAAAGTCTCCCCTTTGCGCACAAATGCCCATTCTCTCTGAAAACTACACAGAAGAAACTTTCCCCTTTGCTTCAGTTATTACTCCTACCTCCACACCAACCTCAGACCTATTTGCATATCTAGGAACCAACACTAGTAACCATGTCAAGTAACCAGAAACACACAACAGACGTTGGGTGACAGAGCAGGACTTGGGGAAACAGGGGTACATATTCAGTGTCTGAAGATTTGGAGGGGCTCGTGGTAGCATGGCCACAGGGATGGGCCACAGATGAATAGAAATGAAAGGAAGAAGGAATCTTCTATGATATGGTTCTATGAACTGAGGCAGCTCAGGTAAGGAAGCTGACAGAAGATAAAGTTCAAAGTTGCTATCAGAGGAATGAAAAGGGTGCCAAGGGAAAGATGGGACAAATGTACCTAGAAAGTTTCAACCCATTCAGCTACAGCTTATCATTACAGCCATATTTCCATACACATCATCATGATTTAGTGAACAGCACTTGGATTAGAATACCAGCTAAAATGCAGAAGCCTTTGTTTTTGCATTTCAGGTTCGTGAGCTGGAAGCTGAGTGTGAGAATGAACAGAAGCGCAGTGCTGAGGCTATAAAAGGTGTACGAAAGTATGAGAGAAGAGTAAAGGAACTGACTTATCAGGTGAGAATGGAGACTTCCTTTTATCTAGGGTTGCCATATTCCCAAAAGTGAAAATCCGGACAAAGTTGTTGAGCTTTTCTTTTGGGGAGGGAGAGGGGTCAAAGTTTTTGTTTGGGAACATCTCTCCCCCCCTCACCAAATTAAGTTTTTAGGCTTTTAAAAATATTTTAAAGCATTTTTAAAAACAAAAATTGCCCTGCTTGCTATAAAATCTGCTCGGAAGCCATTACCAGAACCTGATTCCCGGATGTATGGCAGCCCTACTTTTATCTGAAAATGCTGTAGGTACTTGCATATGAGTTCACACTCTCTTCTCTTACTTTTAAACATTTAGGCTGAAGAAGATCGGAAGAATGTTCTGAGACTCCAGGATCTTGTAGATAAACTACAGCTCAAAGTGAAAGCATACAAGCGACAAGCTGAGGAAGCTGTAAGTATCACACAGAACATGGTGCAAAAGTTTTGGCTTGCATGTATAGCACCAACACACAAAACCTGACTGAATAATGAAGTCTAGTTTTGAGCAGAACGTGTTTATATCACATACAAATATTTTGAATTTACAGCACTTCTCATAAGAGAATTTATACTCTGCTCTTGTGCACCCAAGAGGTGAAGACCCCATGGAGCTCTGCACATTCAGGAGCTGCCCTACTATCTTAAATATTATGGGATTCTTCACAAATTGAATTGTATGCCCTTCAAAATGGCCTGAGGAAAATTAGTACATGCTTTGTGTCTACTTTGCTAAGAATTCAATCTGGTGCAGGCTGAAAAGCAGGAAGGACTGAGTTCTGCCATTTTCATATCTCTCTGTCTGTTATCAGGAGGAACAATCCAATGTGAACCTTTCGAAGTTCCGCAAGATTCAGCATGAGCTGGAAGAGGCTGAGGAGCGGGCTGACATTGCTGAGTCCCAGGTTAACAAGCTCCGGGTGAAGACCCGAGAGGTGCACAAGAAAGTTGTTGTAAGCGAAGAATAAGCTCACCAAAGAGATGCAGAGTGACTGAAGAGAAGACAAAATGTGAAGCTCTTTGCCACTTCCTGTAATTAATGTTTATTCCCCTCACTGTTTAGAAAATAAAGATTGTAGATTCCTTTGCATACTAAAAATGGACATGGCTTTTCATTTTAACTTGTTAGCAAGTATTAGAGACCTGGAAGGATTGTGCATTTCTGGTGACAGTCTTAACTCTGCCCTGTTGTGCATTCAGTTGAACTCAGTTCTCAGATTCATGAATATATATGATGACTCTCAGAAAAATTATTACATAATCAGCGAATCACCATGAAATTGAAGTTTACTTGCAGTTCACATTAAGCCTTAGTTCTTGTCTTTAATCACTTTGGGTTTCTCTTCATGAAGCAAAGGCAGAAAACGAATGTTAAAATAAATGAGGAAAATCTTATATGGTTAGTTTAAGTAAATGGTAACAAAGCACATTGTCATTGTTATATTGAGCCCCGCTGCTGAACACCAAATGGGATGAACAGGAAAATATGCGAACATATATTGCTAAGCAAGGACCTAAAATAGCGTTTTTTGTTTTACAAGAAAGCACTTTATTGAGATGGGTGTATCAACTATTTCTGAACTGTACTGTGCCCTCTAAACTAAGAATGAACCTAATGAGCACTGAGGCTTAGCCATATGCAACTCTATGCTGGATTGTGGCAATGCTGTCCAAAGGGCTGTCTTGTCCTTGGGACAAACTGTAAGGATCAAGGCAGGTTGCCAAGTATGCAAAGGTACTAAATAAGCCTTTCACCTCGTATGTAGTCATAAGATATCAAATACAATTGTGTAGTCATAAGATATCAAATGCAATTGTATGGAGTTATTAAATCAAACAGGTGATTTTGGGTTATAATATTTTTAAAATCACTGATCAGTACTATGAAAACTCATGTTAAATAGATTGATTTAAACAAATAATATCAAGAGTATTGTTACTAGGTATTCACATCATAATGTTATATCAAAGGGATCAGCTCTAGACTGAGCACTCTTTTTAGGGGTTTATTACCTGGTTCCACGACCGGGTGGCGCTGTGCGGTGCAAGATAGAAGGGCCTTGATGAAATCGGAGGTCGGCATTCGAAGTTCAGCCCCACAGAGCGAAAGCGGTGCGTTTCTCGGAATAAATCCGGCGCCCTGCAACACTGTATTGTGGCAAAATGCAAATTCCCGAACAGGCCCCGGCCTATAGATTGGAAACACCTATACTGGCAGAACGTAAGGCCTTTCCATTTCCGTCCACTGAAATCCCCAGAGAACGATTCAGAGAGGCCACCCCAAAGTCTCCACACAGTGGTCAGAGATCATTGAGTGAGTACAAGAGTTAGTACAGTGGGCTGTAGCAGGGAGAAGATGAAGGAGAAACCTTGTTGTGTGGTGGACACCAGTTCACACTATGTTGAATCTCACCCAACATCTAAATATTGGGTTTCTGGTAAGTCTACTGTTAAAACAAATATATATAAAACTGGGGTTTCTTGTCAAAAAAGTTTGCCTTGAAAACAGAAAATATTTACCAGAATGTCTGGAAGGAAGTACAACAAACGTTATGCAGAGCAGACTACTGAACTACCAAATACTATAACTGGAAGGTATTTTCTATAGTGTTTTAAACAGTATGATAATCACACAAAATATAATATACCTCTCATTCTTTTTTTGATCAGTTACTAACTCACTGGATTTTAATTCTGCTTCTTGTTTGGGCCTATATAGGACATACATGCTGATATAGGATTATAGTATACATTCTGTGTCAAGTGTTCTTAAATTTGAATGCAGCTGCTGATTTACCTATCACAACTGTTCTATACTGTATCATTTCATATGTTGGGTTTTTTCAAGCGGGGGGGTGCTGCTGCTGCTAATTCACTGTGCACACAGTCATGGCAAAAATAAGATGGCATAAACTGGGGGGGGGACGGGACTCTTTATTATATAAGAAGTCTGTAAAAAAGGGAAGAAACTTCTAGTAGTTGCCAATTAAATAGCTTTTCCATAGCAAATAGTTAATAGAATCCCTGAAAGACCCTAGAAAAGACATTATTTGTATCACCAAAAACATCTGTACTTAAAACTACCTGCGCAGGGTCTGCAGAAATCACTGGTGATTTATTACTTAACAGAATTTATGCTTAAGTAATATTTGTATTTTCCTATAAATTAACCATTTAACCAATAAGTAGTTTTCATCTGTAATTGCTTTTGTTTTAGCAAATGCTTAATTTTTTTCAAAGTTGTTGTTCCTTTTCATCTTGAAGCTACGAAAAAGATTTTTGCTCCTTCCATGTAGTTCTGGATATTGTTTTACCATCTTCTAAATCCTCTCCAAATTGTTTGCATATCAAAACTGTCACCAGTATCCAGGCTGAGGATCATCTAATACCAAGCAGTGCATCGTTGCACTCTCTCCCCTCTCCCAATCTAAATTAGGTAAAGGTAAAGGTACCCCTGCCCGTACGGGCCAGTCTTGACAGACTCTGGGGTTGTGCGCCCATCTCACTTAAGAGGCCAGGGGCCAGCGCTGTCCGGAGACACTTCCGGGTCACGTGGCCAGCGTGACAAAGCTGCATCTGGCGAGCCAGCGCAGCACACGGAAACGCCGTTTACCTTCCCGCCAGTAAGCGTCCCCTATTTATCTACTTGCACCTGGGGGTGCTTTCGAACTGCTAGGTTGGCAGGCGCTGGGACCGAGCAATGGGAGCGCACCCCTCCGCGGGGATTCGAACCGCCGACCTTTCGATCGGCAAGCCCTAGGCGCTGAGGCTTTTACCCACAGCGCCACCTGCGTCCCGTCAATCTAAATTATACCAGCACAAACCAAACAGCCATTGGTTGCACATGTGGGCTTGAAACAAAATACACAAAACTGTAAGAGAGGTCCTTTCCACCTCTCTGGTGTTATTGTGGTTTATGTGGAGTGTGCAGTCCTTGGGTGTGCAAGAAGTGAGAAACCATCTTAAAGCAATTATTATGTTCACTACCACAGAACCTAAGTCCTATAATGCATGTCTCCAAAGCTCTGGGAAATGTCCCCAGTGACCAAGTCATGTTACAACTTTTAGGGGGTGGTCGCAGATTGTGATTAAGGTCAGGGAATGGAACAAAATACCTGGGAAACCTATCCTTACAACTACTAAAACGCTACTCATAGCTCAGTGGTACAGCTCCTAGTTAGCAGCTATCTATCTAAGCAGATGAAAAAAGACAGGAAGGAGAGACTATTGAAGGCCAAAGGTAGGTGAATGTCAAGCATGAGGGATCTATTTCTTTTCCCTAAAACCTCAAGGTCCACCAACTAGAACCAAGTGAAAAATAGTGGCTCAGAAAGAGGGCAGATACACACTTAGAATTGAAGATCAGGACATCTCTGAATTCAGCATAGTCCGTAAATTTGCTTTCAGTTCCAGAAATTTCCACAGCCTTTTTTTGGGTGGGGAGGAGGAGTGGAAGTTGTGATTGTTGAATAATAGCAAAACAGAAATCCTTGTTGATCTATTACACTTCACTCAGAGATTAGCCTGTACATCCCTAACTACTTTCTCCTCATTGCTGTTGTGGGCACCCTCCTGGCCTTCCAAACCTGAACTCCTGGCCTTCCAAACAAACGGGCAGTGGCTAGATAAAAATGGAAGCAAAAGGAATAGCTCCTAGATTGGGTAGGGAGAGTGCAGTGGGGTGATGTTAGGCTTCCTCAGGTTTACATCTGTGGAAGAAGTTAAAGGGAGAATGCAATACACAAATAAGGACTTGGAATAGAATTATATCCAATTGTGGTGTCCCACTTGTGCAAAACATTTCTGCATGTGCATGCAAATGGGACTTACTTTTCCACCCCCTCCCCAAAACCCAATTTCTCTGGATGGTTGCAGGACATTATGGAGCAGATTATGGAATTAATGGTGTTGCAGATGAAGAACTCCCATTTGTATCCACTGGTGCAACAGTGGATCTCACTCATAGAATCTTCAATGCAGCATAAGTGCCTCAGGATTTTTACGTCCAACTGACAGCTCATTCACTTTTCTGTCACTTTCATCTCCTTCCCAACAACCTTTGCCTTTCAAGACAGGAGTTACCCTTCGCAGCCTCTTCATTTGGACTCTATTGCAGAGCACATGCTCTCTATAACTAAAATTCTAGTCATGGTCCGGAGGGTTTATGAGCGCAGTAGTTGTCCAAAATGGTAATCATAGAAGGGATGCCAAGAGTCTTAAGCCTCCAATTCCTTACCCATCATCACGTCTGTTTATCACTGTCTGAAAATAGCAGACAGAATTCCATATTTTCATCAAATGATTTTAAATGCTTCAAGATTTTTGAGACACCAACATTTGCTGTAATAAATTTTGTCAAATTAGTTTTTCTAGGTTTTTTTTTAATGTGTGTTTGGTGCTAGTACTAGTGAGGAAGTTATTTATCATTTGTCCTCTGCTTAACCATTTAATTGTTTAGCATTCCTAAGTGCAGATAAATTATTTTAAAAAATAAAACCTAACCTAAAAAACAAAAATAAACCATGGGGCATTAGCTGTGATTTTCTATTTGGATAATTTCACTGAAAATATAAGAAGCCAGTGAGTCCTATAAAATATTTTTAGAAATGATACAAGCACTTGTAGTAATGGAGTGTCTTGAATATTTCTAATCTAAATATATCCAAGGATAATATGAGTAAGAATGATGCTTGCAGTCAACTTTGCCAAAACAATACTTTGCCAGAAATAATTGACCTGACCTATGCCAGAGGAGGTGCTAGTCCCTGAGCAGACCTTATAAAAGAGTTCCTGGGACCTATCTTGTCTTTGATCTGCCTGCTCTCTGCATACAGCTTCAAGGTAAGTCATGTGCAGAAACAAGGGTTGCAGGGAAGGAGTAGAGGCCTGAAATTCTTCACATCCCAAGTCACTTGGTCACCTCTGGAACTAATTTATATGTGGATATTCAAACCTGCCCTGGAATTCAAACCTGTTCTTTCATCTATTTCTTCTCTCTCACCTATTCCTGGAGCTTTTTTGGCAGCAATTAAAAGAGGTTCATCTTTATTTATTTATCTTTTTTCAGTGGTGGTCAGCCTCAAGCCTGCATATAACACCTTGCACAAGGTAAGCATGCTAATCCCCATGGCATACAGAGAGTATAATATAAAGTATAAATGCTCTTGAAAAATTATATTTATAATGCATTTTATGCCAATACTAGTTACGTGTCGAAAATATAATTTGGAAACTGGAATTTTTGTACAGTGGTACCTCGGGTTAAGAACTTAATTCGTTCTGGAGGTCTGTTCTTAACCTGAAACTGTTCTTAACCTGAAGCACCACTTTAGCTAATGGGGCCTCCTGCTGCTGCCGCGCTGCCAGAGCACAATTTCTGTTCTCATCCTGAAGCAGAGTTCTTAACCTGAGGTACTATTTCTGGGTTAGGGGAGTCTGTAATCTGAAGCGTATGTAACCTGAAGCGTATGTAACCCGAGGTACCACTGTATAGATGAATTAATGTAGAAAAAGAAATGCAAATGCGCAATTTCAAACGATAGATGATAAAAGATGATAAATAGGAGAGTCAGAGTGGTGTAATGGTTAGAGTGTTGGACTATGACCTGGAGGCTAGGGCATGTTGAATTTTTCAACTTTCAAATCCCCCAAACGAGGGGTGCGAAAAAGTTGCAACATGACTTGTGAATTCAAAAGATATTTTGGTCACATGAGAATCGACCAAGAGAGTGGCCGACACCTGGCCACTCCCTTAAATAGGCTGGGAGTGGGCTGCTCGCAGGCCCCAAGCCCCAACCTCCGATTGGCTGAGGGGGCACTGCCCACCCTTATCTGAAGGCCCAACGTGGCAGTGCCAGCCATCCCCTCCCTCAGCTGCCCCGAAGATGGCAGCTCCCTGAACCCACCACAGCTGCCCACCTGGAGTCCTAGGTGAGCGGATATTTTGGTTAAATTAATATAACTTAGCGTAGCTTGGTAAATAAAATGTGTGTAAAATTATAAAGAAATCATTTAAAATGGTTGCTAAGTACTTTCAGTCATATTTATTTATATATTATACATATTTTACACTACCTGACACTTTCAGAAGGTAAAATTAAAATTCTTTGGTTTCCCCGAGAACAACTTATTTGCTTCTTAATCAAACGTAGACTAGCCAAGCTAAATGTTGTCCAATCACAAATATAGCTGATTTGAATTCCTCACACCCAAAAACATATTTTTAAGCCCCATCACTGAAGAAATTTGCAAAAACTAAGTTTCACCCCCTAAAATGACACACCTTACTGGGAGTCCAGGGTTCGAATCCCACTTAACCATGAAGCTCACTGGGGGACCTTGGGCCAGTCACTGCCTGTCAAGTCTAACCTACCTCACAGGGTTGTTATGAGGATTAAATGGGGAGAAGGAGAAACAGATACATCACTTTGAGATCCCTGGAAGAAAAGGTCGTACAGAAATGGAATAAATAAATAGGTAGGTAGGTAGCCCGAAAATGCGTAACTCAGAAACCTGTAGCACATGTTTTTATTGGAACAAAAGTCTGATACTTCCATCACTTTGAGATGCTCAGTAGAAGATAGTGTTTCAATCTCTCACACTGGATCTAGATCTAATAAGGAAGACGTATCAGTTGCTTACCCAACCTACATTCTAAATGATGCTTCACTTGTAGACTTGGAGCAAGCTGATTTACTTTTCAAATTCCTGGTAGGACGCACCGGGATTGTTTAAACACCGAAAGCTAAAGAAGGTTGAATTTTAATTAATGGTTGCAAATACTGGGAATTGTATTTCCCCCCACCCAAAAAATGGTAGAGCTCAAAAAGAATGAAATACAAAACTCTTTCCAGAGAAAAGCACAGGGGAGAGTTGCTTGCCTTTCCTACATAAATTTCAGAGTTCCTTCACTGCTTTCTTCCTGTCTTATCAGAATAACTTGCACACAGTGGTACCTCGGGTTAAGTACTTAATTCGTTCCGGAGGTTAACCTGAAACTGTTCTTAACCTGAAGCACCACTTTAGCTAATGGGGCCTCCTGCTGCTGCCACCACGCGACTTCTGTTCTCATCCTGAAGCAAAGTTCTTAACCCAAGGCACTATTTCTAGGTTAGCGGAGTCTGCAACCTGAAGCGTCTGTAACCTGAAGTGTATGTAACCTGAGGTACCACTGTATAGCCAAGGTAGATTCACGCACGAGGCAAGGCAAGGACGCAGGAATCCATAGGGGCAGCACCTGCTGCTGCTGTGGTGGCAGCGATGGCTGTGGCACACCCCTTGGTGGCTGGCTCTGCAGCCTCCTGAGCAGCTCCTGCTGGTCTCCTCCTACCCCTAGGGAGTGGGGCTGCCTTCTGACGTTTTCTGAGCTCTGCACCTGTCTGGTGTGATTCAGAGCGGGCCCCTTCCCCACCCCATGGCAGCTTTTGATTCCCACTTCAACTATCAGGTAAGGGTGATTTGATCCCTAACCCATTCCAATTGTAGATCTTAACCCTGCCCCCCCCCCGCCGCCGTTTCCCAATGTAGATCTTCACTCACACCTTCTTTCTTGGAAGGAGGCCATACACCATTTTGTGGTTCACCTCAGGTGCCAAAATGTCTCGTGCCAGCCCTGCAAATATGCAAAAGGAACATTTGCTTCTGAATGCCAGTTGCTGGAAATTGCAAGTGGGGAGAGTGCTGTTGCAGTCAGGTCCTGATTGTGTGTATCTCATAGGCTGGTGAGAGCAAGATGCTAGAATAGATGATCCTTTGGTCTGATCCAGCAGGGCTTGAATTAGATGTACCCAAAACACATGTTGTATGTCACTGAATTCTTGTCTTCCAGAGTAATGCCCAATCTTCATTCTCTATTCTGCTGTTTTCTTTATTAGAAACAGAATTGGCTTTTTGCCTCCTAAATTCTCAGTATACAGGGTCCTGCTATATTGTTTACATTCAACCAATACTACTCTCCTTGGAATACAGATATAGAAACCATCTAGCCCAGGAGTCTAGTCTATTATGTCTTGAAGTAGCTCTCCAAGGTCTTCCCCATATTTTCTCTTAACTGGAGACGCCAGAGATCAAACCTGGGGCCTTCCTTATAGAGGCAAAGCTTGTGTTCTGCCACTGTGGCTAGGGTAATTTTCCAGGCATACAACCTCTGCCCAATGGAATGCTTGGTACTTGACACAGTAGGATCTTGAGCTCTACAGATCAGCATATGGGATATAAAAGTCTCATAAAAGCAAATTTTCGTGTGTCATTGAGTAGTGGCCACAGAAAGTTATATACCCTGAGAGAAGGAAACCGACAATTCATCTTACTAAAGAGGAATATGCGTTCATGTGTGCACTTCAGGGTTTTGCATTCATGCTGTTTTCCAACAGAGGAATACAGCCCAGATGCCAATTTGTTTGTGCATGCAAATCAGATTCTCCTCACTGAATTAAACTGGGAAGCTCTTGAGTGTAGGGTGCTCTGTATACACAGATGTTGTATCCATATTTTTTCTTCCTTTAAATGAAGCTACTTCCATAGGAAGAAAGGAAGCATTGGATGCATACTGAAAGACCTATGCATGCATAAGCAGTTACTAAATAAAGGTGATGGAAGGTTAAAAACAAAAACAAGTTAATACTATTGAAAGGATTATATTGATCCAATAACACGATGGAACATTTTCTCTCGTTTAGTGTTGTGGAGCTGCCTTCTATAAACTGCAGCCATGTCATCAGACGCGGAGATGGCCATCTTTGGGCCAGCTGCCCCTTTTCTCCGGAAACCAGAAAAGGAGAGAATTGAGGCCCAGAACAAGCCCTTTGATGCAAAGAATTCAGTCTTTGTGTCAGATCCTAAGGAGTCTTATGTGAAGGCCACTGTCACAGCCAGGGAAGGAGGGAAGGTCACAGCCAAGACTGAAAAAGGAGAAGTGAGTAGAAGACAACAAATGCATTGTTATAATTGCCTTGCCTCTACTTTTTAAGATGCCATAAACTTGCCTTTTGTTTCCTTGGCAGTCTGTGACTGTGAAAGAAGACCAAGTCTTTTCTATGAATCCTCCCAAATATGACAAAATTGAGGACATGGCCATGATGACCCACCTCCATGAACCTGCTGTCCTGTATAACCTCAAAGAGCGTTATGCAGCCTGGATGATTTATGTGAGTACAGTCCTTGTCTTTTATTTTATTTTTTGCTTTCTGCTAATGCAGTGTTGTGGTCTCAGATTAGGGAGATCTGTGTGCTAACCTCTAAAGCTCTACTGAGACCTCTGTGGATCATCTCCCTTGTTCTTCAGTCCAGCAAGCGATAGGAACAGGCTGGCTTTACCTTTGCTCTTTGAAGTGATTGTAGTCTCAGCACCATTTCTCATAAGAATCAGGAAAAGACGTGCAATAATTTTATTAAAACTTAAAAAGTTTTACTATTATCCTGTTATAATCTTGTTTCCTTCTTTGTGATTAAACATTTGTTCAATATTTGGGATTTTTGAAGAGGACATACACTTGATTTTTAGAAATCCAAAATCTGTCAAATAACAATACTGATATAAAAACGTTGCAGTTTTTATCTTTCTCCTTACCATTTATGGATAAATTATATGTTTGCCAACTTTTAGTTTGGCTGGAAGTTTTCAGAATTTAAGTCTATTTCTTACTTTATTTCCATTCATGCTTTTCACCCTCTAAAAGAAGAAACTACTTACATATTTTCCACAAGAGCAAAAGAATATAACAGTATTAATAGAAATATTACTACAAGCAGATTAATTGAACTAGTTCTGTTCTTCTTCCAGACTTATTCAGGTCTCTTCTGTGTCACTGTCAATCCATACAAATGGCTGCCAGTGTACAACCCAGAAGTGGTAAATGCCTACAGAGGCAAAAAGCGTCAAGAGGCCCCTCCTCACATCTTCTCCATCTCTGACAATGCCTATCAGTTCATGTTAACTGGTAAGTAAGTGAAAAGCTTTGGGAACAAATAATGTTTTCCTCAGAGGACCTCAGTGTCCTTTCACAATGTTGGATTACTGCTGATGACTGCATTCTTTATTCTGCTAATAAAATCATGAAGCTCACTCTCGCCACCATCTCCTAGCTTAATATGCCTGGCATTATGTGAGGATAAAAAAGCCGAGAATTGGAAAACACTTGCACATAGTGAATATGCTGTGCAAAGAGTACTGTATTATGTTAGAGGCTTAAACTGAATGTTTTGTGATATCATTTTCTCTTTCTTTGTTCATAAGCCTTTCCTACCTGCCAACACAGTTTTGGCTTCCCTAACATCCAGGACCCAAACATAGAGCCAATGAGGTGTTTGGATTAGGGATGGAGCAGAAATGTATTTGGCCTGCTGGTTAAAGTAAACCAACGTAATCCTTGATTTATATGCATGTTAGAATGCAGCTATCAATCAGATCACACAAAATGAACACAAAAGTATGTATTTTACATTAAAATGCATGAAATAATTTGGATTTTGGCATAAAAATAATCAAAAAGGCTTACAAAAATGCATATTTTATGGAAAGAATGTGTTTAACATGTATAAAAGGCATTCAACTTAATGCATTTTTGCTCATTTTAATAAAGAACTGCAAAAATCAAAAGTGGAACAGAACAGAAAGGCTGATCTACCCATCCTTAGCTTAATGAAAACCACATAGAAACCATTTTCTTAGGATTTAAAATACGTGAGACTGGGAGTTCAGATGATACTTAAAATTATGGGGTTCTACTCCTCATGTATTCTTGGACAGATGTAGGTGCTTCTACACACACACACACACACACACACACACACACACACTGCTTCATATTATTTTAAAATTAAAAGTAACTTTTAAACAATTTAATATTTTCAGATCGTGAGAATCAGTCTATTCTGATCACGTAAGTATCCTTTCTAGCTTTTTTTCTGTGCAGACTTTTGAAATGGAAGCAGGGTGCTGTCATTGTATTAAGGAAAAGTCATCCCAATGCTTAACATGGGACAAAACTATATTCATAACTTAAATGGCATAATAGTCATAGTTCTAAGAAACTTTGGAAACTGCAGTTCTGCAATAGGGGCTACTCAGCAGTTTCCAAGATTTCTCATGAAACTGAAATTCCGAAGTCTGTTTGGGAAAAGCCATAGCAGTTAAACTGGTATAAAACCAATGTAAGTTTAAAAGTCCATAGCATATAATTATAACCATTAGAGCAGACGTGGCTAACTCTTGGTCTGGGGACCTGATTTGTGCTGTAAACAAATTTTGGCAGGGGTGACTTAGAAAGGGGGAAATTAAAATAGACCCAGCACAGGGATGGATGGAGAAATTTAAATTTCTCCACTCAGCCCAGCACCTGAATGAGATGTAAATCACTCCCTCCCCAGTCATCAGATCAATCCTTTGATGAGCAGGGAGGGGACAATAGGCCCCTCCTCAGCTGATCTACAAGGATCACCTGATGAGAGGGAGGCTGTGTGTATGCAACAATGTGTGTGCAAGAGTGTAGTAGGATGGCCACAGCTACTTTTAGCCACATATTTGGCTAGCATGCAGTCCCTGCAAGGTTGACCAAGAGTAAATGTGGCTTCAGGCAAAAAATGTTAGCCACTTCTGACCCATTGTTGAGATACTTTCCCCTTGACTATTGGTTCCCTGTCCCACCTTTCATCAACAGTGGAGAATCTGGTGCTGGAAAGACTGTGAACACGAAACGTGTCATCCAGTACTTTGCAACAATTGCAGCCACAGGTGAGAAGAAAAAGGAGGAGGTCACAGCAGGCAAAATAAAGGTAAGCTTTGTGTCACAAAAGGATGAAATGTGGTTTTGATGCAGTCTCTATATAATTAATCTTACAATAATACATACATTGCAGGGTACCCTTGAAGATCAAATCATCAGTGCCAACCCCTTGCTGGAGGCTTTTGGAAATGCAAAGACTGTGAGGAATGACAACTCCTCACGTTTCGTAAGTCATCTGCAGAACCTGAACATAATAGTTGGCCTTTACGTGTAGTGCCTTATCATCATACACAGCAAATCTGTAGTAACCTATATGCAGAATCTGCCTCCTAGAATTTGTAATTGCCTATCTTTTCCTTTTTAAAGGGTAAATTCATCAGAATCCATTTTGGTGCCACAGGCAAACTGGCTTCTGCTGACATTGAAACATGTAAGGGCTCCTTCTTTAGATGAACTCTTTGTTTGTTTGTTTGTTTGTTTGTTTGTTCGTTCGTTCATTCTATTTCATTACCTTGCCAGATTTGCTAGAGAAGTCCAGAGTTACTTTCCAGCTGAAAGCTGAAAGAAGCTACCACATCTTTTATCAGATCATGTCCAACAAGAAGCCAGAACTGATTGGTAAGAGGCATTTGTTATAGTGGCTGCTGCTGCTGTTGCTAAAATCTTGCGCTGATGCTGGATTATGCAATGGATGAAAATCTGTGCTTCTCCTTATTCAGAGATGTTGCTGATTACTACCAACCCATACGACTTTCACTTGTGAGTCAGGGTGAGATCACTGTTGCCAGCATCAATGATCAAGAAGAGTTGATGGCAACTGATGTAAGTAACTTATAGAATGGAATATATGGAATTTAATTACAGTGGTGCCTCGCAAGACGAAAAGAATCCGTTCCGCGAGTCTCTTCGTCTTGCGGTTTTTTCGTCTTGCGAAGCAAGCCCATTAGCGGATTAGCGCTATTAGCGGCTTAGCGGTCAGCTGATAAGCGCTTAGCGGATCAGCTGATAAGCGGCTTAGCGGACCAGCTGTTAAGCGGCTTAGCGGACCAGCTGTTAACGGCTTAGCGATCAGATGTTAAGGCTTAGCGATCAGCTGTTAAGCGGCTTAGCGGCTTAGTGGATCAGCTGTTAAGCGGCTTAGCGGCTTAGCGGATCAGCTGATAAGCGGCTTAGCGGCTTGGGAAAAAGGGGGGGAGGAAAAACCTGCAGGAACTCGCAAGACATTTTCGTCTTGCGAAGCAAGCCCATAGGAAATTCGTGTTGCGAAGCACCTCGAAAACAGAAAACCCTTTCGTCTAGCGGTTTTTTCGTCTTGCGAGGCATTCGTCTTGCGGGGCACCACTGTAGACCAGTTTTGGGCTGAATTTATTCAACAGAAATTAGATGTCTTGGGGTGAGGCATTCTAGGAATGCTGGGGTTGATGATGTGTGTCTGCGTAGGGGGGGGGGGAGGGAAATCACAGTGCACCAATAGCCGAAATGCTCTTCCTCCAAATGAAATGGTAATTTGTAGGGCCAGTTTTTGCTCAGCATTTTAACTTTTGATTGATAGGAAGCCATTGACATCCTGGGTTTCACTGCTGAGGAAAAGACAGCCATTTACAAGCTAACTGGAGCTGTAATGCACTATGGGAACATGAAGTTCAAGCAGAAGCAACGTGAGGAGCAGGCTGAGCCAGATGGCACTGAAGGTATTCACAAAGTATCTCTGTTATGGCATTATACTTGGGGCCCTAAATACAATATGGACTGTGTGTGGCTATGAAGCAGCAATTTACATAGTCTATTAATAAGGTATTGTTTTTATTATGACTATTTACCTCACTGATTAACAAACATGTTGTTAGGTTGTCAAATCTTTAAATCATAGTATTGTAGAGTTGGAAGGGATCCCAAGGGTCATCTAGTCCAACCCCCTTGCAATGCAGGAATCTCAACTAAAGCATCCATGACTGATTGACATCCAGCCTCTGCTACAAAGCTCCAAGAAAGGAGAGTCCATCACCTCTCAGAATCTACTCCGCTGTAGAGCAGCTCTTACTGTCAGAAAGTTCTTCCTGATGTTTCTCAGAGTCTCCTTTCTTGTAATTTGAATCCATTGTTTTGGGTCCTAGCATCTGGAGCAGGAAAAAACAAGCTTGCTCCATCTTCCGTGCAACAGCCCTTTAAATGTGAAGATGGCTATCATATCTCCCCTCACTCTCCTCTTTACCAGGCTAAACATACTCAGTTCCCTCAACCACATAAGGCTTGGTTCCCAGACCCTTGATATCATCTTGGTCGCCATCCTCTGCACATGTTGCAGCTTGTTAATATCTTTCTTAAAAGGTGTTGCTCAGAACTGGATACAGTACTCCAGGTGTGGTCTGATCAAGGCAGAATAGAGTGATACTATTACTTCCCTTGGGGTGTATGGAGTCTTTGGGGAGGGGTAGTACTTCTGGTTGGGGACACATGTTGCTCCTTCTGGGTAGTTTGTCCTCCTTTGGTCCCCAACCTACACTCAGCTCTCACCTGTGGCTCCTAGAAGCTGTCAGCATGCGACAGCAGCCACACCCCGAGAACAGCTTTGACTGGCCAGCTAAACCAGGTGAGGATAGCTGATAGGTCTCAAACCCTTTGAAAGTTAGGGTCTTCCCCTGCATGTGAAGACAGACTCCAGAAGATTGAACGTTCAATACCAATAGTGGGCCCAATGGTCAAGAAGGCGGTTACTGCATGTGCTGTAGAGGGAAGTAAGGGACAAATGGGGCTCATCAACCTGGGAAAGTAGCTCATCTAGGAGAACCATTTGATTGATAATAGTGCAAGTGAAACTGAACAATTTAGAAAAGATTCTGAAACCTATATAATTTTGAGGTTAATGATTGTCATAAGTAGAATCTATGTCAGACAAGCAAAATATATTTTGATAAATTATGGTCTATTTGTGCTGATAATCCTTTCTTCTTATGTTTGTGTTCAGTGGCTGACAAGGCTGCCTACCTCATGAACCTCAATTCAGCAGATCTGCTGAAAGCTTTGTGCTACCCCCGAGTCAAGGTCGGCAATGAATATGTCACCAAAGGCCAAACTGTTCAGCAGGTGAAAATCTATGAAATGCTGGATGCACCACTTGATTAACTACTATTCCTCGGAGGTTTGGTCCTCTGCTTTGTATATTAACTCCAGTTTGTATCATGTTATTCTAGGTGTATAATAATGTTGGAGCTTTGGCTAAAGCTGTCTTTGAGAAGATGTTCTTGTGGATGGTTGTTCGTATTAACCAGCAACTGGATACTAAACAGCCAAGGCAATACTTCATTGGTGTGCTGGACATTGCTGGCTTTGAGATCTTTGATGTAAGTGAATGGAACCTTGTCACAACGAAGGTGGATCCCCACTCCCCAGGTCTTTTAAAATCTCCTGGAATGTTCCTTCTGAAATAACCTGGTCAGCTTGTAGCACAGGATGCCAATTCCCACAACTGTACTGCAATGGACTGACTGGACAAGCTTTGAAGGTGGTAATAACTCATCTAAGTAGCACAGATTCATAATTTCAAAAGATAGCTAGTATACAGGGAAGTCTTGAGAAAGTGTTACTAGAGAATGATGAGGTCCAGGATAGCTCCAACATTGCAGAAGGACCTCAGTGAAGCTGACAGTACACTTAAAATGGGTAGGGATGAATACACAGAAGTTCCTCTGACCCCATTAATATTACTTCTATTTATAGCGTTTTTCTTCATCTGTTAGGTCCACCTATGTAGTATATTTAATCCAAGTTAATGTCTAATGGGTGGAATTCTTTCAATCAGGTTAAGGGTAGCTTAGGTAGACATGCAGGTGGAAAATAAGCATATGGGTGGAAAATATCATGAAGTACTGTACCTAGAATTGAAAGTGGGTCACACTGAGTAGTTGTACTCTTTAGAATAAATGTACTCTTTCCCCCACTAGTACAACAGCCTGGAGCAGCTGTGCATCAACTTCACTAATGAGAAACTGCAACAGTTTTTCAACCATCACATGTTTGTGCTGGAGCAAGAGGAGTACAAGAAAGAAGGAATTGAATGGGAGTTCATTGACTTTGGAATGGACCTGGCTGCCTGCATTGAACTCATTGAGAAGGTCTTTTAAAAAAGTTTTTGTTAATCTTGCATACAATGTAATTAAGCAGTCTTTAAAGTTTGAAAGATGTGTCCTTACTTTAAACAACAAAACAGCCATTTTATTTAATTTAAATTCATTCTTATAAAATAGTATTTGCTTGCGACATAAAAATAATGGGAAGAGAGAGGGTCAAATCTGCTTCTTAGTGTCTCATGTAAAAATGCCTTGATATGGCATTTTAGAAACTCTTGCCATACTCAAAATACAATCATTCAACAGGAAGCCTTACAGAACAATTCTTGACTGTCATTGTGCAATGAAATCCCGACCTTAAGTTACATATTTGCAGAAAGAACCTCTTGCTTTATTTCCCCTCATTAAAATCACAACACAAGGTGGCTGGCCAAAAAAACCTATCCCTATGACACTTGCTTGCAATAATATATGCTAATATTACAAGCCAACAGCACACAAGTTATAAAATCTTGCTTTCTCTCTGCTTCTTATAGCCAATGGGCATTTTCTCCATCCTAGAAGAAGAGTGCATGTTCCCCAAGGCAACAGACACATCTTTTAAGAACAAGCTCTATGAACAGCATCTTGGCAAATGCAAGAACTTTGAAAAGCCCAAACCTGGCAAAGGGAAGGCTGAGGCTCACTTCGCCCTGGTCCATTATGCCGGCACTGTGGACTACAACATCAGTGGATGGCTGGACAAGAACAAGGACCCCCTGAATGAAAGTGTAATTCAGCTCTACCAGAAATCATCTATGAAGACACTGGCTTTGCTATTTGCTGACCGCCCTCCAGAAGGTAATTCCTGCTGCACTTTGCAATTGGCTTATGAACATAACCCTGAATAGGAAGGAACCTAAGTTCAGTAACAGCAACCATTTACTGGGAGTGCAGCAACACCATCTGCATATGGCAAAACCCAGTCAGTCTGGTTGAAGATTCAAGAAGGGCTAAATCGCACAATGATTTTAAACCATCAAATGTTAAACCATTAAATACTTTGCATACACATCATACATTTAAAGCACACATGCAAGAATCCTGGGAACTGTAGTTTAAGGATGCTAGGAATTATAGCTCTGTGAAGGGAAAATTACAGCTCTCAGGAATCTTCTTTTTTGGGGGGGAAGCAATGTACTTGGAATGTATGGTGTGTGTGCACAATGGCAGCTCCTCTGGCTTTTTCTGAGGACCACTCAACTAACACTTCAGCATATCTCTGTTCCAAATATTATTTCACATTCACCCATCACATGTCTTTGAATAATCCTACAAGAATCATAACCTTCCAACCCTCAGAGTAAATATGGTGACAATATATTATTATGCTTAGGTCTGGAAGTCCCCCCACCCCCGTACTGGGAGCAGCATTTGCAGCCTCGTTGCAGCAGCAGGGTAACACACAGTCACATTCTGGTGTGGTTGTTTTCCTGCACCTCTCATGTCGGGAACAACGAGGCATTGCAAAAGTCAAGAAGCCAACCAGCATTAGTCTGGGCTCCCTGTGAACTGGATTTCCAGGGAAGACCTGGGTGAAGACTTTGCCCATCTCGGTCTGCTCTGGGAGTATTTAAGAAGCTGTGGCAGGGTGAGGGGTGACCATTTAGGGGGCTACTTTGAACTTGCTGTGGGGTGTTTTTTTTTTATTTTAAAGTTGCTGTTTTCAGAGCCAGGAAGGCATTTGTGCTATAGTCAGTTGACTGGCCAGGTCTATGGGTTTTGCCTGCCTCATAGCAAACTTTATGGTGGAAGAGGGAGACCCCCTAAACTTTAGTCAGCTGGAACAGTTCATCAACCAGCAGGCAAGCTAATTGATCTTCCTGATAAATGCCAAATGCTTACACCAAACCTGTTGCATCTGTAATCAATAAAGTTGTCACCTAATTTGAATCCAACAACACTCTCCCATCCTTGTCCTTGGTCTGTGCACTCCACTGCTGCCTCACTGAACCTACAGCCACAAATGTAGTTTATACAGAAGAATAACACATAAAATCCCTGATGTATATGTTTTAATTATAATATTTTTTATTATTATTCAGAGGGAAAGAAGGCTGCAAAGAAGAAGGGTTCCTCATTCCAGACTGTCTCCGCTCTTTTCAGGGTATAGTAAAATCTTGGCTTAAGATATTTGTAAGGGGAGAAAATTCTGATTTCTTAGGGCTGCCATACGTCCAAGTTTTCCCGGACATGTCCGTGATTTGGGCAGCAGAAGTGGCATCAGGGTGGATTTTTGCTGAGTCAACAGAATGTCTGGGGAAACCCAGACGTACGGCAAGCAGGGCGATTATTTGAAAGAAATGCTTTAAAAATCCTATAAAAGCCTGTCCTTTTTAAAGAATATTTTGGGAATATAGCAACCCTAGATTTCACAATCACAGAACACCAGCATGCCTCTAAGCACAAGAGAAATGTATTATAGGTGAAGGCTGAAATTCTGTGGTAGACTACATTGCCTGCGTACAAATGACCCCAGTTTTGATCTTTGCTCAGGAAAGACTCTAGTCTAAAATCCTGAGGAACTGCTACCAGTCAGTGTAAACATTACTGTGCTAGACAGACCAATATTCTGACTTAATAGAAGGCACCTTTGTATGCTCTGATAGATCCATCAAGAGTTTAAGAGTCCAAGACTGCTTAGTCCTAGAACAGAAAGCATGCAACTGAGCTTCTTGGAGAATGGGCAAGATAAATGTGATAAATAAATTATACAAAACACTAGGTCACTGCATTCTAGTCTGGCTGAAGTCTCACAATGGTCTATGATCTGGAGATTACCAAGGCAAACGTGAAATGCCCAAGTCTTTATCACTAGAATAGTGCAGTTTGTGAATCGGACAAGGATGATTTTTTGAAAAATCCACCTAGGTATCTAGGAGCAACCCCAAATTGTGCTCTCAATTTGTCAGAGGAAGTATGAGTCCAATCAGGTTAACCACACACCAATTTCATAGAGGTTTTTCAGAGTTTTTCTCTATTTTTTCTTACTACCTATGGAAAATTTAAAGGAAGTTTTGCATGTATATGTGTGTGGAATTTGTTAACCAGGCTCTGGCTTCTAATTCCACAGGAGAACTTAAACAAACTGATGAGCAACCTGAAGAGTACTCATCCACACTTTGTGCGTTGCCTAATCCCCAATGAAACTAAAACCCCTGGTAAGACACAGAACTCTACTTTGATTTTTAAAAAGAAAGATGCGATGCACCAGTTGTATACATTTGGTATTCATATCTTCTCTTATTTTCTAAGGTGCCATGGAACATGAACTTGTATTGCACCAACTGAGATGTAATGGTGTGCTGGAGGGCATCAGAATTTGCAGGAAGGGATTCCCCAGCAGGATTATTTATGGTGACTTCAAACAGAGGTCAGACTGCCCCCCAATTATTAACCTATTGGTTGTTTGTAGTTGTTTTGCCCCCCCTCCCCATCAATAGTTTTGAGTTGCTTTTTGACTGTTTCTAATATTGCATTATAGCAGTTAGCACCACGTTTGGACAAAAGGCTTAAGGGGGGAAAATGCCATCAGTGACAATTAATAGTCCTTGCATGAAGAGATTACAAGAAGACCCCAGTTAAATTTAGCCTCAGTTAAATTTTACTAGTCTCCCTGATTTAGGTAAATGGTCATTAGGAATAATATTTGTTTAAACATTTACAATCAGATGCTAAACCGGATGGACCATTGGTCTGACCGAGTTCCATGAACATGGCATCAAATCATAAGCATCTTTATCTTCCACTTCTTCTAACAGATATAGAGTTTTAAATGCAAGTGCCATCCCCGAGGGACAGTTCATGGATAGCAAGAAGGCTTCTGAGAAACTTCTTGGATCTATTGATGTTGACCACACCCAATATAAATTTGGCCACACAAAGGTAAATTTACTTTTTATTACAAGACTGTAAAATTAGAGTTTGTTGAGACAGTGACCAATACTTTGTAATATTTTCTTTCCCCAGGTCTTCTTCAAAGCTGGCCTTTTGGGTCTTCTGGAGGAGATGAGAGATGACAAATTGGCACAGCTGATTACACGTACACAGGCTATGTGTCGTGGCTACTTAGCAAGGGTGGAGTTCCAAAAAATGATGGAAAGGAGGTAGAGTTTTGCCATCTGTAATAGAACTCATGACCACACTGGCCTATCATGTTAATATGCCCTACACAAGGATTACAAATAATAACATATATAAAATACTCTTTGGGCTACTCTCCAAATTCTGGGGCAGATTCTGTGTAAAACTTGTAAGAAGTACAGTCGTACCTTGGTTCTCAAACTGAATCCATTCTAGGAGTCTGTTTGACTTCTGAAACCATTCAAGAACCAAGACACGGCTTCTGATTGCCTGCAGGAGCTTCCTGCAGTCAAGTGGAAGCCATGCTGGACGTTCGGCTTCCGAAAAACATTCAAAAACTAGAATACTCACTTCCAGTTTTCGATTGTTCAGGACCTGAAAAGTGGCAGTTCTCTTAACATTTATTAGGTTTGTATTAAATTTGAGTGTAAGAAGTATAAAAATAAAGTGACAGCTATGCTAAAGAAGCATAATGAAATTTGAACTACTTTATAAAATAGTCCTATTTTTGGAAGCTTTATTTGATAAATTTCTTCATATACCCCATGTGCTCCTGGAAATATCAACCCCTTCTTTATAAAGAAAAAAAATATTCATTTTTCTTACTCTTTCCTTGAGATATAAACCTACACTTACTCCCAGATAAGTGTAGTTAGTAGTGCAGTCTAAGACCTGTTTTGCAACTGGACAAGAATCGGACAGTTCATATTTTTTATTAGGAGAGTCACAAAAGAATTTCATTAAACACTTTGATCACACTGTTGTCGTTTTCATCATCAAGGTTTTATTTTGTTGTCTGGTTGTTACAGAGAATCCATCTTTACTATTCAATACAATGTCCGTTCATTTATGAATGTGAAGACTTGGTCTTGGATGAAGTTGTACTTCAAGATCAAGCCTTTGCTGAAGAGTGCTGAATCAGAGAAGGAGATGGCCAACATGAAGGAAGAGTTTGAGAAAACTAAAGAAAGTCTTGCTAAAGCAGATGCCAAAGTGAAGGAACTGGAAGAAAAAATGGTTTCTCTGATGCAAGAGAAGAATGACTTGCAACTCCAAGTCCAATCTGTAAGCATTGTTGGTAACATACATTTTTCTTCACTCTAGACTAGTTTAGGTAGAGGAATTCAGAAATCGCAGGAGAAATGTGGCTATGTTTAATAAATCTGTATATCTTATATACATACTACATATCCTCTACGTAATAGTTCACCACAGTCAAAGTTAAATTGGACATAAGTATTTTTTACACATATATAGTATACTGGTGAATATAGTTTATTTTGGTATTTGATATACCAACATATCCAGTGTCTATTAAAGAGTGATTTACTTGAACACTGAAAGAATATGGCCTTGAATAGCTTAACAATTAGTTTTAAAGGTGAGGCCATGTGCACATTCCTTTGTGTAAGTAGATTCTGTGCAAGAGATCTGCGTGTGCATGAACCTCTTAAGTAGGATAATAATATTATTGCTATATGACATACATTTTCCCTGTATAGGAAGCTGATGGCTTGGCAGATGCTGAGGAGAGATGTGACCAGCTGATCAAAACCAAAATTCAGCTGGAAGCTAAAATTAAGGAGCTGACTGAACGGGCAGAGGATGAAGAGGAAATGAATGCTGAGCTGACAGCCAAAAAGAGGAAACTGGAAGATGAATGCTCAGAGCTGAAGAAAGACATTGATGATCTGGAGTTAACACTGGCCAAGGTGGAAAAGGAGAAGCATGCCACAGAAAACAAGGTAATGGTCACAATGTGCTCAGATCTGCAACCAATAGTCAGAATGTTGTATTATCATTCCAGGGTGGAATGATACATTGAATCTGTTTGTTCATTTCTAAAAGGTGAAAAATCTCACTGAAGAGATGGCAGTCTTGGATGAGAACATTGCCAAACTGACCAAGGAAAAGAAAGCCCTCCAAGAGGCCCATCAACAGACCTTGGATGACCTGCAGGCAGAGGAGGACAAAGTCAATACTCTGACCAAAGCAAAGACCAAGCTGGAGCAGCAAGTGGACGATGTAAGCACCATCACATGCAGAAGAATAACTGTGGGGTAAAGGTAGCATTAGAGTGACAAAGTCTTTGTCCCCTCTTTGTCTTTAGCTTGAAGGGTCCCTGGAGCAAGAAAAGAAACTTCGCATGGACCTGGAAAGATCCAAGAGGAAACTTGAAGGTGATCTGAAGCTGGCCCAGGAATCCACAATGGATTTGGAGAATGATAAGCAGCAGCTGGATGAAAAGCTTAAGAAGTAAGTATGGTTTACTGTCTAGAAGACCTTTTGGGAGCTCTTTATGGCACCCAGCCCTCTTAGAATTTGACTCAAAAAACTTTGTGTTTTGTTATGAAAAGGAAAGACTTTGAAATCAGCCAGTTCCAAAGCAAAATTGAAGATGAGCAGGCCTTGGGCTCCCAGCTTCAAAAGAAGATAAAGGAGTTACAGGCAAGTCAAGCACATATTGACTCCATCCTATGAAAATCAGTTCATCAGGGAAGACTCTGTTAATGGCTGCTTCTCTTTCTCTAGGCTCGTATTGAGGAACTGGAGGAGGAGATTGAGGCTGAGCGTGCATCTCGGGCCAAAGCAGAGAAGCAGCGGGCTGATCTCTCCAGAGAACTTGAAGAGATCAGTGAGCGTCTGGAGGAAGCTGGTGGGGCAACCGCAGCTCAGATTGAGATGAACAAGAAACGTGAGGCAGAATTCCAGAAAATGCGCAGGGACCTTGAAGAAGCCACTCTGCAACATGAAGCCACTGCATCTGCTCTCCGCAAGAAGCATGCAGACAGTGCAGCTGAACTTGGGGAACAAATTGATAACCTGCAACGTGTGAAACAGAAGCTGGAGAAGGAGAAGAGTGAGCTGAAGATGGAGATTGATGACCTTGCCAGTAATATGGAGTCAGTTTCCAAAGCAAAGGTATACTGCAGCAGTATATACTTTCCTTTAGCTTTATCAGGTGGAGGCACAACACACAGAATTCACAATCTTACATGTGGAATATAAATGTAATAATAAACACATGGTTTGGGAATATAAAGAGATTGATACGTGGGTTACAGTAGCACCCATTCAAGTACCTAAAAGCAAAAGCAAAATACTCATATTAAGCAGATGGAACAGTGGATAGTATATTGGATTTTTATGTAAGAGAGCAGCTTCTAAGTTTTTTTTAATAGGTCTACACAAAACACTTTATTTATACCTTAAATCTATAAAATGTGCTTAGAGCAAATGATCCACCTGGCTCATGCAGGGACAACCAGAAGAGTGTCTGGAGTAGCTGTCATTTGGTGCTATGTGTATAATAATACTAAATTTTTTATTTATAAAAATATTTGCATAAAGTAATTTCTTTAAAAAGAAATTCAAAGTAGTTTACAACAATTCAAAATTACAATTTACCAACTATTACAGAAATTATTCCATAATAGCAAACATAAAGCATGGTCACCTAAATAAGCACTATCTCAGTGCTGTTGTGATAAATATTATTTATCCCTGCCCTCACTTTCCTGATACTTCTTTCCAATGTGTATCATACTGTAATGTGACACTGCTATAGTCAGATTATTTTGATAAATTATGTGGGGAAATGGAAGAGGAATTCACTGTAGCACTAAGTGGATTGCTTCTTCAGGGCAAGCATATCTGCTTGCCATCCTTACCACCACCCTGAACCAGTTTGAGGGAGCATGCACAGGTAGAGAGGGGAAAGCCCTGTTGTGCTAGTGGAGGTCATTGTGCAGGCTTCTGCTGGCAGGGCCAGTTAGTTAAATCTGGCCTCAGCTGTTTTATATAGCTATACACTTTATTATTTCACATCTAGGCAAATCTTGAAAAGATAAGCCGCACTTTAGAAGACCAGCTTAGTGAACTTAAAGCAAAGGAGGAACAGAACCAACGCACTATTAATGACCTGACTGCTCAAAGAGCTCGTCTGCAGACAGAAACTGGTAAGAAACTGAAAGTAAATTATTTAATGCTGCAATTCTTAGGTCCAAAGATAGCAAAGTACCAATCTACTATGTCTATACTATCCAATTGAATCTTAACTGCACACAAGTTTAGGGCAATGCTTTTTCCTTTTCTTGCAACACGATTTCATTATGAAATCTGATTCTATGATTGTTTGTTCGGAAGTAAGTTTCTCCAGCTGCAATAGGACTTGATAGCAAACGAGGGAGGTTTATCTAAGTGTGGCTAGTCATAATTTATAACTACTAAGAAAAATATTTTATGAATAGTGAACATGATTAATTTATTTGTTGTTACAAATGAATTAATGCATTTGTTGTTATAACCATCAAGGTCATTTCAATCACCGCTTAAAAAGAAATATGTACATACTATGTGGGACGGGGGTGGCGCCGTGGGTAAAACCGCAGCGCCTAGGACTTGCCGATCACATGGTCGGCGGTTCGAATCCCCGCGGCGGGGTGCGCTCCCGTCGTTCGGTCCCAGCGCCTGCCAACCTAGCAGTTGGAAAGCACCCCCGGGTGCAAGTAGATAAATAGGGACCGCTTACCAGCGGGAAGGTAAACGGCGTTCCGTGTGCTGCGCTGGCTCGCCAGATGCAGCTTGTCACGCTGGCCACGTGACCCGGAAGTGTCTGCGGACAGCGCTGGCTCCCGGCCTATAGAGTGAGATGAGCGCACAACCCTAGAGTCTGGCAAGACTGGCCCGTATGGGCAGGGGTACCTTTACCTTTTATACATACAGTAGATACATAGATAATATGTACCGGTATATATTCCATTTAATCCGTTCTCTTTTCAGGTGAATACTCACGCCAAGTTGAAGAAAAAGATTCACTGATTTCTCAGCTCACAAGAGGCAAGCAAGCCTTTACCCAACAGATTGAGGAACTAAAGAGGCAGCTTGAGGAAGAGATAAAGGTGTGTATTTTGTTCAACACTGCAGGCCCTCTATCACAGTTCTAAACAACACAGGGCCTCTTTCTCCTATTCAGTTATCGACACCCATGTGCATTCTGCAGAAATCCTAATTATTCTCATTTCAGAAGCTCTAAGGTTGCTCAGGAAACTTCTCTAGATATCTCCCTATGGTGGTCTCTCTATTCTTTCATTCAAATGGGCAAAAGATTGCATGTGCTTACCTATCTTAGGCTGCTTGCAAACTAGGCATTTATTCTGGTATAGCTATGATTCGTTCACTCACATTTGAAGGAACAACCACATCATGACATCAACATTAAATCGCTCTCTTGTGTTTTCTCCACAATTCTTCCATCTCTTTGGAGAGTCAGAATAGCTGACTTTGGGAGCAAGAGCAGAATACTAGCATAAGTGGGATGTGGACAGGAAGATGTAAAACTGAGGCAGGGATGACATGTTGGAGATGCCCCGTCTTTCTCAAATTTTTGTGTATTTCCTCAGGGCAGCTAAAAATAAACATTAAAAATACAAATGCAATAGAAACTATGCAACATAACAACAGACATGGGTAACACCCTGACATTCATAACTACTAAATTCTTTCCATATTTCAGGCCAAGAATGCACTTGCCCATGGTTTGCAATCTGCCCGTCATGACTGTGACTTGCTCCGGGAGCAGTTTGAAGAGGAGCAGGAAGCCAAGGCTGAGCTGCAACGTGCCATGTCTAAGGCCAATAGTGAAGTTGCTCAGTGGAGAACCAAGTATGAAACAGATGCCATTCAACGCACAGAAGAGTTAGAGGAAGCCAAGTAAGTACAAGAACCAAGAGCAAGGGAGAGAAAGGGAACTCAAAAGTAGAAGGAAGTATGCCATTGTGTAGATGGAATTGGGGGAAATATTTATTTGTATCACTCAGTGAACAGAACAGGTCACTGAGTTATTTGTGCTAGGCTCAGAGCAACAGATATACTGTAATAACGCAATCACATCAGTGTTGACATGGAAGGAGCTGATGACATGGCAAGACAAAGTTTGAATGGAAAATCAAATTTGTTTTTGAGACCATTCTCAGTATGCATGGACCATTCTCAGTAAGCCATTTATTATAATGGATGACTAAGTGTAGTAATCACATTCCTCTAGGAAAAAGCTGGCTCAGCGTCTTCAGGATGCTGAAGAACACGTAGAGGCTGTGAATTCCAAATGTGCTTCCCTTGAGAAGACAAAGCAAAGGCTACAGAATGAAGTGGAGGACTTGATGATTGATGTGGAAAGGTCCAATGCAGCCTGTGCAGCTCTAGATAAGAAGCAGAAGAACTTTGATAAGGTACTTTTGAACATAATTTAAAAGAAAACCCAGCACGTTGCAACAAATTCTCAGGTACACATGAACACATTTCTTATTTCTTGTGTTTCTTCTTTCTGGTGTTTTGCAGATTCTGGCAGACTGGAAACAGAAATATGAGGAAACACAGTCTGAACTGGAAGCTTCCCAGAAAGAGTCTCGCTCTCTCAGCACAGAGCTCTTTAAGATGAAGAATGCTTATGAGGAATCTTTGGATCACTTGGAAACTCTGAAACGTGAAAATAAGAATCTCCAACGTAAGACCACTTTTTCATAATAAGTGCAAAAAAACTGTGAAGTTCGTTTTGCAGAGCTGAAGCAATAGATCATAAGGATGGGATATCTCATACAGTCCTTCTCCCCAAAGCTAGAATAGACACCCATGTGCATGGGAGTTTACAATGAGTGTCTTCACAACATGCAGTTTTATTATGCAGTCTTCACAAGGCTTACGAGGAACCTTACATCTTAGGTCATTAGGTGTTGTATAAAATTAAAAATAAAATAGGTCTGACCCACAGGGCTGCAATCTAAAATTATGCCAGTATGGCATAACAATTAGAGTGCTGGACTATGACCTGGAAGACCAGGGTTTGAATCCCCACTAAACCATGAAGCTCACTGCGTGATCTTGGGCCAGTCATAATCTCTTAACCTAATCTACCTCAAATGGTTGTTGTGAGAATGAAATGGGGAGGAAAAGAACCATGTACGCAACATTGAGCTCCTTGGAAGAGACTGGTGGTATATGAAAAAATGTAATAAATAAATTAATATAAATGAATGAATAAATGAATAAAATAATGCTAGTACTATAATTGTTCACTCCAAATAGTGGAGCTGAGATGAATAACTGAAATCCTCCTTCCCAAACCTTCCTACATCTGTTTATTATTAGCTGCATAAACACTATTAATCTCCTTTCTCCTTTCTTTGTGTGAAACTAACAGAGGAGATATCTGACCTCACGGAACAGATTGCTGAGGGAGGAAAGGCCATCCATGAATTAGAGAAAGTGAAGAAGCAGATTGAGCAAGAGAAATCTGAACTGCAGGCTTCTCTAGAGGAAGCTGAGGTAAACAATACAATTATGCATAATGAAAAGACACAAATTATTGATCTGTAATACTGTGAAATAATTGAAGAGGCAACCAGAAGGATGATGATAAGGTAGGAACATTGCAGGATCAGACTGAAGGTCCATTTAGTCCTACAATCTGCTTTTTACTTGAAGGTCCACAAGCAGGGCATGAAGGCAATAGTCCAATCCTGTTGTTGTTCAGTGTCACAAATGGGACCTGCAACAAAATGCTGCAATGTGGAGTTCTTTTGTTTAGTATTTCAATCCATCGGTCAGCAATGCCTCCTTCCATTCCATTCCATTCCCTGCCCTTCAACCATCAACATTCTGTGGTCACTGAGCAAGCTCTGCTCTCTTGTAGGCTGCTTCTGAGTCCCACCCTTTTTTGTACTTCTGCAAACATTGCTGTTCCCTCAGATCTTCTGATACTTCCCTCTTATGTGTGGGTGGTACTGTTTTGGCTGAGTAACTGTTAGCACTCATGCATGGCCATTGGAAATAGAAGCATTACTGTATGCTTACTGCTATTTTTTACCCCATCCTCTTTTGATGAAGTGGAACATTTACTCCCTCATCCCTTACAGATGCTCTGTCCCAAACCAGATGCTCCCCAGTTCTTGTCAGCTTTCCCCCAAAGGTCAGCTTAAAAGCCACTCTGTGACCTTTAGAATTTTAAGTACCAGCTGTCTAGTTCTATTTTGGTACAAGTGAAGACCATCCTTTAATTTAACTTATGCCAAGATGTCCCCAGGTCAAGTTCTGAATACCTAGCTGAACATGCAAAAGGTAGCATTTCTGAGATGGCTTCCTTTGAGTATGGAAATGTGGTGAATACACTGCTAAATAGTATATTCAATATAATGTTGAGCGTACTTCAATAAGGAAACAGCTGTCAAATTAAGTCCATTATTAACAGCTGTTATAAATGGTTTTCTTAAGGCCTCACTGGAACACGAAGAAGGCAAAATCCTGCGCATCCAACTTGAGCTCAACCAGGTGAAGGCTGACATTGACAGGAGAATTGCAGAGAAGGATGAGGAAATTGATCAGCTGAAGAGGAATCACCTGAGAGTTGTGGAGTCCATGCAGAGCACGCTGGATGCTGAGATCAGGAGCAGGAATGATGCCCTGAGAATAAAGAAGAAGATGGAGGGAGATCTGAATGAAATGGAAATCCAGCTGAGCCATGCCAACCGCCAAGCTGCTGAGGCATTAAAGAACCTCAGGAACACCCAAGGAATACTCAAGGTTCAGATATATTTCTGTAATCAGGATATAGTTGTGATTGTTATTGTGCAAAGAACGGTCTCACAATAATATCTCAATATCATTTTTTAGGACACCCAGATACATTTGGATGAAGCTATGAGGAGCCAGGAAGATCTGAAGGAGCAAGTGGCCATGGTTGAGCGCAGAGCTAATCTGATGCAGGCCGAGATTGAGGAGCTCCGTGCAGCTCTGGAACAGACAGAGAGGGGCAGGAAAATTGCAGAACAGGAACTTCTGGATGCCAGTGAGCGTGTGCAACTTCTTCACACCCAGGTGAGCTTCTAATATGTAATGGGCACGCACAAGGACATGAGGATAATCCAGTGGGGATAAATCAGGTGTAGGCTCTGCTCCAGAAATAAAGAGATTGTTGCTAATGTGTAAATAGGCAATTAACCTACTCATCGCCACACAGCCTATTTTTCTCATCATATTAATAATCACTACTGTCAAGGGACATGAAGTGGACGTTGGTACTCAATTAAGACTTTGAAGGGAGCTCATTTTATTTATTTAGCGTGTTTTTAGCAAACCCTTTAGCCAATAAATGTTCCAGAACAGTTTACGTAAGATCAATAACAAGCAAAATAGTCCTTGTCATAGAAAGGTGATTTACAAGGCATGACTCAAGAAGAAAAAGGCGTAAGGAGGGAAGAGGAAAACAGGCACCAGTTATTAAAGTAGCATAGTTGTTATAATGACCAGATAGAATGGAAACAGTTTAGTAAGAGGAGCCAAATGAAGCTGGTCTCCTCATGGAATTGATGTAGTGGCCTGATAGAATGATAGTTGCTTGGCAGCAACCTGATGAAATAACCAAGTAACAGTTGAGGGTAGGGATGAATGAAACTATCTGCTTTGATTTCTCTCTGTTTCTCATTTTTCCAATCTTCAGTTCACTAAGTTTCCTCATCAGTTTGTATTTTTTAAAAAAGTAACACAAAATTCATTTTTTAAAATTATTATTATTGTTGTTGTTGTTGTTAGCAACAATAGCAGCAGCATTTTAGTGTGCCTTTCTCTTAATATGCACATTTCTGTATGCAAGCAATTTTCCCTAATATAATACATTTGGTATGTCATTCTCACTGATAAATGCATCTTTATCCACACATCCTCAATATGTTTTTCTGCACACATTTTTTGCATCACAAACTTCAGAGAAGGGCACATTTTGAAATATAGATGTATTTAAGTGTTACACATGGTTTCAGGATGTGTGAATTAAAATGTAAACCAAACCAAATTCCTCTCCCATTCCCTAGTTGAGGGAGGGAGGAGCCCAACAGAGCTGGTTTCTGCATCATAGGTATGCTGGGGAAATGTTTGTGGCTCATTTCTGAGTACCTGCAATTGTACTCAGCATCATTCTTTTGTACAAAATGCAAGCAATATGAATGACATATTTAGGCTTGGTCCTTTACGAAAACTATGATCTCCCATTCTGTATAGAATACCAGCTTGATCAACACCAAGAAGAAGCTGGAAACAGACATCTCACAAATCCAGAGTGAAGTGGAGGAGACTATTCAGGAAGCACGCAATGCAGAAGAGAAAGCCAAGAAAGCCATCACTGATGTGAGTTGGGCAGATTTTCTTTTGAAACTATAATCCTGCTTGCAGTTGGCATGGCTGGTTTCCTAAACTGGGGAAAATTTCCTCTATTAATAGGCAGCCATGATGGCTGAGGAACTCAAGAAGGAACAAGACACCAGTGCCCACTTGGAGAGGATGAAGAAGAACCTGGACCAGACAGTGAAGGACTTGCAGCATCGTCTTGATGAGGCAGAACAGCTGGCAATGAAGGGTGGCAAGAAGCAGCTCCAGAAACTGGAGCACAGAGTATGTATTTCTTGTAAACAAGTTCACTCAGTTCTACTTCTTGAACAAACTGACCAGCTGGACAGCTAATGGCTAATTCCATTTTCCCCAGGTACGTGAGCTGGAAGCTGAAGTTGAGAATGAGCAGAAACGCAGTGCCGATGCTATCAAGGGTGTGCGCAAATATGAGAGACGTGTAAAGGAACTAACCTACCAGGTGAGGACAGATAATTTTTTTCTGCATCTTTTGGAGGAACTGGTAAAAGCATTTTATAATCAGATGTACTCATGTTGTTTTCTTTTCTTTTGTTAAAAAAATATCCTGCTCTGTCCAGTCTGAGGAAGACCGAAAGAATGTTCTTAGACTCCAGGACCTGGTTGACAAGTTGCAGATGAAAGTGAAAGCATACAAGAGACAATCTGAAGAAGCTGTAAGTATTATTCTGAACTTGCTGTAGCTTGAGCTAGAATTATGAAGGTAAATTTGATATAGCAAATGTTTCATTTCTATCAATAAGTACAAAATGAATTAGTCTCCATGTGGCAGAATTAGCTGCATGAAACAGGGGAGTTTCACATAATTGAAACTTATGTGAGAAAAATTATCAGTGGATTGTGCCCTCAGTAACATGAACCCAAATTTTAATAATGGGAAGATTGCAGAAACCTTGCTCATATTGTTTTTAAGAGGAGAAGATCCTTTAGCAGTCTGAGTAATTAAAGCAATATGAAATAGCAATAGTCACTTTTGCATACCACTTTACTGTACACATTGCAGTTCACAATAAATACTGTGCATTTCTGTAGTCGATTAAAGACATTATCATCTCATATAATAGTATTAAAGTGGTAATATACTGACCAATAATATCATGGGCAGGTCTGAATGTACAAAGAACAGTCAAGCTAAACTAACCAAGGTTTGGCATTATGTCCCAATGCTGCTACTGAGATTTATGCTTTCTCCTATACTCAAAATCATTTATACTATTTAAGTGTTAAAAATCCAGTACCTTGATTCATATATTTTTATCCATTTTCAGGAGGAACAATCCAATGTGAACCTGTCTAAATTCCGCAAGATTCAGCATGAGCTGGAAGAGGCTGAGGAGCGGGCTGACATTGCTGAGTCCCAGGTTAACAAGCTCCGGGTGAAGACCCGAGAGGTGCACAAGAAAGTTGTTGTAAGCGAAGAATAAGCTCAACAAAAAGCTGCAGTGACTGAAGAGAAGCGCAAAATGTGAAGCTCTTTGTCACTTTTGTAATTATCATTGTTCAGTTTCTAGAAAATAAAGATTGTAGATTCCTTTGCAAGATGACAAAAAAGATTTTATGTGTTGCCTTTCTATACAGTACTATTCTTTTCATAGCATTTCATGTACATCATAGTTTCTGGCTAACCAAAGCTTTCTTAATTTCAGTAGTATAATCACTGAACTGGAGGAGAAGTCAATATACATCTTATTGTTACCATTCTTTTGAGTCAGACAATTTTGAATGGCCAAGTCCCTTTTTTACTCCAATTGGATTATTCTGGGCTTGGTGGTTTAAGTCTGTAATCCTAAATTCATTTCCTTGGGAGTCAATTCCATTGATTTCAGTGGGACTTATTTCTAGCTAGACATGGTTAGGATGGTGGTCCAAAATCCAAGCAGGGATGCTTAAGTGGTTTGTGGATCAAGCACTTGGTTTCCCTTTGCTTCAGTCACATTTAAGACAAATTAAATGGATTAGTACTCACAAATTTAAACATTTGAACAGGTATTCCTAAAGGAAAACAACTTTAAAAGCCTGACTGAGCTGTGTACAGTCAGCTCTACTCCACAGATTATTATTATTATTATTCACCCACCTTTCACCCTAAGGCCCCAAGGCAGGTTACAATAATTTAAAATACAATATTAAAAACAGTGACCACAAACAGTCACACAAACTGTAACAGCCAGTGAAATTATTCAACAGTGATTAGTAAATCTTTCCTCGTCAGATAATGCATGCATGTTTTGGAATTTCACAAGAGATCAAGAAAAGGTACAGCATTCTTAGATTAAGCTGCAATACAAATATTTTCTGGTGGAACCCCCATTAAAACTTGTAATATATTGGTTCTTCACCAAAGAAAGTCAGTCAGGATGAGAAAAGAACTTCAACTTTATTTTAAAAAAACACCTTTCAAAACACCAGCAAAGTGAATATAGAAGATAAATATCAAAGCATCTTGAAAGTAAGCAGGGATAATAAAATATGACATTTATCATTTAGTATGATGCTTTCATCTATCATGGGTTGAGCCCATACCTTCCAGTGATTCTCAGATGAAAACAGGGATGTTCTAGTCTGCATCAGGAAGCTTCTCCTGCATTTTGATCTCACTGCACATAAAGACGTCATAAACACATACACACCTGTCACCTTGAGCAAACTGCAACCTCTCCGCCAAACCTACCTCACTAGATTGTTTAGAAAAAATGTGCGAGGGAAGTGATCGTGTATAAGACCGTCAACAGATAAATGGAATGAAATAATTTTTTTGTGGTAAGCAGCCTTGAGTCCCTGTCAGGGAAAAAGGTAGGATGTGTGCTATGCTTACAAAATGAATTTGATCTGTGTGCTGCTGCTGCAGCAGCAGCAGCAGCAGCAGCAGAGTCTTAGGATATGTACACATTAGTGGCTGAAAACAGTGCTTTGTTTCTTAAAAAATGTTTAGGGGTACTCTCATTTTGACTCAAGAAAACCACCATTTTATAGTTCAAATTGGGAAAAATAATTACAGTAAATGGACAAAAGTACAAAGCTTCACAAAATGTTTAGGGGTATGCGTACCCCTGCATCCCCCCACCCGAAAAAAGCACTGGCTGAAAATATAGCAAAGTAGTCACCCACCCACCCCACCTTTAAGTTACATTTCCACTTGCCATACACATCAGAGACAGGGCAGGGATGTCTTTACCAGATGCATTTTCTCTATTTGGTTTCCCCATGCCTGCAATGCGCTTCATCTGCACATGCACAATGGATGTCCCAAATGTACATACTTCAACTTTACTGTGGCTGGTTTACAGAAGCTGGTTTGAGGGGAAATGCATCAGACAACATTATTTCTCAAGGGACTATATGATCCATAGCTGTCAACGTTTCCCTTTTTTTAAGGAAAATTTCCTTATTCCGAACAGGATTCCTCACAAGGGAAAAGTTGACAGCTATGATATGATCATGTGTACATTGCTTCAAACACCAATGAGGGAAGTGCACTGAAGCATCAAACCCCAAAGCAGGGAGTGCACGTTTCAGCAAAGTACCATCTCAGTCTCAGTACCCCCTGCCTGCTGCCCATTATACTATGAGGATAATATAATACCAGTCTATCATACAAGGTGGTTGTGTATATCTAAGATTGGGATCTTCAATTTTTCTGGGCTCAGATGCACAAATGGGAATCTAAGACACTGTTGTGGGCTCAGAATCCTCGCCTACAAAAAAATAAAATAAATCCCCAGCAAAACACCTATCCAGCAAAAAAAGAAAAACAAACAAAACATAAAAGAAAGCAAGGCAATCCTATCTCAACCCAAAACAAAAAAATCAAAACCACAAAGAACTCTTCCTTCCTTTATTGAATTTATACACCACTCTTCCTTCCAAAGGAGCCCATTTTTAAAGGAAGGGCAGCACCAAGGGGAGTGTTTGAGAGAGCTGTGATGCCTACAAGTGCCATATTGGAGATGCCATGTCTGACATAATCTATATGAATTTCTCTGTGCTCTTCAGAAAGCAGTAAATCCTTGTGAGTGGGAAGCAAGACAATAGCACAACAAAAATTTCCATTTGCTTCTGGGTGCTAATTTAAAGTAACAAGAAGGATAGATCATTTTTCTGAAGGTCAAATCTAAAGCTTATGGGAAGGATTAATAAAAGAATTGTAGAGTTGGAAGGGATCCCAAGGGTCATCTGGTCTAACCCCCAAATACATTTTGGATGAAATACATTTAAAAGTGCCACCTGGCTCCTGCCGTTTTTCTGCAATTCGCTGTGCCTCATTGTGGGGCAATGAAGAATCTTCTGTTTAACAGAGTATATACAGATGAACTATGACTATATATTTTACTTATTTATTTTATTTTTAGAACATTTCTATCCCACTTTATTACCCTCACAGGCTCTCAATCTAGTTTACAAAAGATTATCACAATAAAAATGACATTAAAGTCTGGTACAGGAACAGAAATGACATGGTGTCCTCCTGATGCCAGGGTGATTCAGCCGGCACTCATCCTTAGTCTTCTTTGGTGTTGCTCTTCCTTGGTATTGCCCTACTAGGCAGTAAAGCCCACTGATGCTCTCTGAGACAAGAGAGTGGGGCTGTGCAGCTAGAACTCAGTCAGCCCATGATGGACGCAAGTTCTCCTTTGCAGTGATTCTCCTCCTACTTGGAATTGATGCTAGAAGATTTCTTCTTGACCACTTGGAAATTATGTTTTAGTGTTTCATCTTTTCCTCCACATTGTTTAACATCTGAATGAAAATGGGTCGAAATCATCTGGAGATTTGGACAAAGGTGGTATTAATATGCAAATGACACTCAGCTCCATCTCTCTTTTTCATCAAATCCTGGAGAGGCAGGGTGTGTTCTGAGTGCTCAGATGCAGTAATGGACTAGATCAAAGACTATAAACTAAGACTCAATCTAGACATGATGAAGGTATTGCTAGTGGATGCTTCATGTTCCTATTTGAGTGGTATTTGGCATGTTCTGGAGGCATTTCCCTGCAGTGGAGGGAACTCCACTGATCCAACATTGTCACTCAGGGCCCGAGTGGTCTCAGTGACTCAAAGTGCCTTTTATCCCTTGCATCTGACAAATGAACTGTGACCCAACTTGGGGATAACCTAGTTACAGTTATCCATGCTCTAGTATTTGATGATGTTTCTAGGAATATCTTTGTGGATTCTATATGTTGTATTCCACCTTGCCACGTTTTTATATGAATGTGCAGATGCCCTTTTAAATGTGTTGTGGAAGGGGCGATTATTGCTTTGTTTCTGTTCTTATTTTTATCATGTATTTAGTGTTTTTTTATATTGCAATTTTATGTTGTGAACCTCCCTGAGATCTATGGGTATAGGGCAGCATACAAATATAATTAATTAATTATTAATTATAATTGATAAATAAATAATTTTTGGGCCTATTTGACCTTTTACTCTCTAAAGAGCTTGCGGTCAAGCTATGTGAAGGATAATTTACTCCTAACCAATGATTTTTTTTCTAGAAAAAAAGGTGCCGGTACTCGCCATAAAGTTGTTACAAGTATGTGCCACACTTTTCAACAACAACAAAGATGCCGGTACTGTGTACCCTTGATTACCCCTGGAAAAATCACTGCTCCTAACTGAACTTTGAGGTCGTTCATTCTTTGGAGTGCCCCTGCCAAGTGAGATCTGGCATGTGGCTATAAGGAAGAAGGGGTTCTCTGTGTTAGCACCCCAGAAAGGCAACACTGGCGCCAGGCAGAGACTTCTTATTCTCTCTGGCTTTTAAATGGATTTTGAGATTTTGGCTTTTAAAAGTTTTTAAGGCCTGTTTGTATTTAACTGTATTGCTGAATCTATGCTACACTGTGCCTTAATACTGTAATTGTTTGTTATATTTTAACAATGTTTAGGTGTGCCACTCAGATAACTTTGGTTGTAAAGGTGGCATAAAAATACTGTTCATACATAAAAGAATAACATTGAGCACTACAGATTGTATGCTCAAACAATCAGAATATCCCTTTGGGTGTATTCAATTAAATAATTGTACAAAATGACTTTACCCTTCTCCTCCCTTGTGTGCCCCCCAGCCCCATCTTTGCTTCAGAGGGTTTGGGAACTCCCAGAACAGACTTAGCGGTGTGTGGGGAGAAGAGGTGGGGATGTTCTATTATGCAAGGAAAAATCTTTGTGCTGATGGAATGTTCCCCTTAGTGCTACTTTGAATATAACACTTTTGTTACGAGGAATGAACATAAATAAGTCTTGAGAATGCCATTGGAGTAATACTGTCTTGCACCAGCTGAGTGTCTGAGTCTCGTCTTTTAAATTCTTAGAATGCCAAACACGTCTGTCAGATCGTTTTGTGCCAACCATGAAATTTGACCTCCCTAAGTTTCCCTAAGGCCCTGTCACTCAAATTCAGAGCTGCAGAATGCATAGAGAA